TATACTAATACTACCTGTTCGTTTCTCACTTGTGTTCCTACAGTTGTAGATAAATCTGAAAAGTAAACTAAGAATTCGTATTAGTTTCAAGAAATCATTAGTTATTTTTAGGAAGTCATCAAAGAATGAATCAGTTTTTAAAGTCAACAAGGAAGTCGTAACTGGTTTCAGTTCTGAAGAATAAAGCTCATCACTAAGTCCATTTTTATCTTGAAAATTGTCCTTGTTTAAAAAATCAGGACCTTTCCACCACAGCTTGTTAGATCCAAGAGTTGTAGCATCTGATCCTCTGGAAATGATGTCGGCTGGGTTCATTTCTGAAGAAACATGTCCCCACTGATAGATGGAAAAAAGTTCCTCTTGAATCATTCCACCTTTACATAATATGTCGTTCAATGAACAACCGTTAGTAGTTTTGGCACTCGCGTCGAACACAACGCGTAACTTTGTTGTTTTACTATCAGGTTTCAGCACGCCATGATGAGGAAGAAAATATCCTCCTTCAGTTTCAGAATAGTCTTCCATCCTCTCCATATGATTTAATGATTCATATTCCCTTAAAAATGAAACATAAAGTTCTTTCATTACAGAATCACTCGACAAACGTTTCCACAACTTGATTCAGTCTTTTTTCAGCGATTTCCTTTGAATCCCCTAATTGTATGTTTTCACCAATATCTGGCTTGAACGGCATTTTAACCACATATCTTCCATCCGCATGCCGGTAAAATGAGTTTTTAAAAAAGTTCGTTGCAATAATTTAATTCAGAATTAACTGTAGATTTAGTTTCATTTACTTCTTCAACTTCCCAGAATGACTTTTACTAAGTTATTTAACGAATTAATCTCTGTTGACAAAAAAACAATAATTTAAGTCATAATTTTTTACATTTGGAATTCTAATGCTTCCAGAAACTAAAAAGCCGAAGCAGCTGTTTTGAAGAAGTAACTCATTATCTTCTAAACGTATTTTATCTGTTTTTAAAAATTCAAAAAATAATTCCGCACCTAATAATAAATCTACCTTTTTTGCCTTGAAAAATTCATCATCAGCTAACTTTATTCCTTTCGGAATATTTAATTTCGAAATATCAATAGATTTCGATGGTGTCATGTCAGTTATTTTGGGAACAACTAATAACTCTATTTCCCATTCATTTTCCTTTTCTAAGTTCGATAAACGCGTCTTTATTTGCGATTTAACATTCAAAGTAGTGTTGCCTATTCCACTAACTGGAATAAATGCTCGTTCTTTTTTTATTCCTAATGAGTTCATAACACCTACAGTACAAAAATTAGAAGTCGAAGCTGAATCAAGCACGGCTCTAAAAGGAATTCGTTCATCGTAAACATCGCGAAGATAAACAATCGCTGTATTTATTAACACAAATTTAGATTTATTTGCAGCTGCCATCAAAGTTGTGTGGGGGGGAGAGGGGCAGTCCTCTTTCCCATTCACTGACGAAAGGTTCAAGGTCAATTCATTTTCTTTCGATGATTCATTTTGTTTTTCGTCAATTTTATGTAACAGCGAATGATGTGTGTGTCTTTCTTACAGACATAACAACTGAATTTAGCCTTACACTGCGATAATACGTGTGATGGAGAAAGGCATTTAATGCATAATATATGCATAATGCATAATATATTCTTTAACAAAATCATACCGCTCAGAAACAGAAATACTCTTAAATTTCGAACAATGATAAATTGGGTGTGGTTCTTTACACATAATACACTTTCGAAAAGGGTTTGTTTTAGTTACCAAGGATTTTGAATTTCTAGAGCGACTTAATTGATTTGATACTTTAGTAGCATAGCTCTGCTTAGGAAAACTAACTTTGTTTATTTCTTCAAGAATGCGAATTCTTTCTTCGAGAAATTCTAAAAATTCATCAAGTTTGGGAATTTCATTTGATTTTACGTTTAGTTCAAATGCTTTTCTAGATTCTCTATCTAATTTATGCAATAAAATATTTAATATCAAAACATCAGATAAATTATTTCTATCAAATTCTAATACACTTAAAGATCTCAAACATCTTTTAACATTATCTACCAGTGATCTCAACTGAGAAGGTGAGTCATTTATTTTTTCAAAGTTCAACAAATTATTGATAAAGGCATCAACTACTGCTCTTTTGTTTTCATATCTGCTTTCAAGTGCAGAAAATAGCGACTCAAATGTATCCTGACATGATTCTAACATTTTTGCTTCACCTTTAAGTGATGCTTTCAAATAAAACAGTTTCTCAGTATCATTTAAATTATTATTATTACCAATCATAGACATAAATTGCACTTTAAAATTTTTAAAATCTTCATATTTACCATAAAATTGAGGAAGAGGTAAATCAGGCAGTTTAAAATTTGATTTAGAAACAGTTTTGGTTTCAAATTTATCTTTATTATTTGTTTCACAATTAGAAAGAAAAATTCTAAATCTTACTTCGAACTCTTCGATGCTTTCTTCCAATTCTTGTGTAATGCTTAGATTATCCTTCAAGTCAATTTCCTCTGGCAAATTGGTGTATTCCACTATGAGTTGTTTAACCCGAGATTTTAATTCCAACAAAGAATCCAATTTAGTCTTCATAATAACATCATGGTTGAGTTTATTCTCCTCCATTTTATACTCATCAAGGAATTTTATCAAAGCTCCGAGTTTCGTTTTCACTACGCCGCGTTGGCGATTCAATGAAACAATATTAGTAGCCATTTCTTCTCCGGCTAACGTGAGACCAAACTGTTCTTGCCGAAGATAGCTCGAACTTATTTAATGATACTTAACTTCAGTAAGTGGACTGTAATATTAACAATAACAATTTTATTTTAACAAAAACAACATTATTGAATACTAGCACACGCATGTGCTTATAGTTACCTATGTAACGTAGCTAAGAACGAGCAACCATATGCTCTTACATCAAGTCAGAAATCATTCATACTAATAAAGCAAAAACGAAATAACTAAAGCCAAACTCTGCTTGGCGTAAAACAATGCTGCCAAGCAATACTCTTTCAGACACCGAACATACGTATTTATATATATAGTTATAAATATGAATAAAATGCTAATTACATAATTGTATTAACCGAGCTTATTTCTCTACAGAGTGAATTTTCCTGATAAATCTTTTTACCTTGCAAAGTTTATGTAAAATTCTTCACAGAAGTTGGAAATATAAATTGCATTTAATTTGTAATAATGCTTCCATTGTTTCTGTGGGATATTTCTGTATTCAGCTGCTTTTCATTCAGAAGTTGAAACTGTTTTCGTAGCCCTGTGGCTAATGTAATACAAATCCAGCAATTGATTGCTACTCTAAAATCATGCTGTAATTTCTTATTATCTAATTTTATTTCATTGTTGAGAGGCAAAGGTGTTAGGAATATCCTGAAAAAATGTTGTGCTGAGGGCCTCAGACTATCTTAATTGCCCTATGCAAACTTCTTTATCAGTCTCATATATCTGGATTTTTCATTCATTTCAAACATTTAATTATTTAATAATCTTTTTATTATTTTTTTTACATATATTTCACTAAAAAGTTCACTTTCAACCTTATCAACATTGAATTGTTCCATATATTATGTAACGTATTTAAAGAATTTGTGTACATTTTGCGGAATAACACGAGTTTAAAAATTGTACCTCTATCAACTCGTGTATAAGCAATGTATTGATAAAACTGTTTTGACATTGACTGTAAGTGAAACTGTTTTGGAACATTTATTCACTTTTAGAGGAGAAACATAGCAATGTAGAATATAAAATTTGAAAGGGGGGGAGGAGGCATATCTTGCAAAAAAAGCATGTTATATTGGCATTGACTTTGTATGAAACTTTGTCAGTTTTGAGAGCATTCAGACATATATCCTTCTTCTTCAGCAGCAAAAGATATTTGCCTGTGCTGACATATTAGTAAAAATATATAATTTTTTCTTTTTCAAAAGTCTCAATTATAGCCCGAATTGAGTGAGTTTTATCTCTCTTCTATTTCCAGACTTTAGCCAGCATTAGTGAAGTTTGATATACCATTAATCAATTTCATAAATTTAATATGTTCTTTCATAAATTTAAGTTTATAGGACTCATTCAAAAAATTTGGGAAATTTACTTTAAAACTTTAATATTAAACATTTCAGTTTTTCTTAATTACTTAATTTTTGCAATTTTCACACAAATATCTTCCTTTTTTTAACAATTTTCACAATTTCAACAGAACACACATGTTCAAATTAAAACAGTTTACATTTTTTACATACCTCTTTATTTCCTTCAAGCAAACATACATCTCTTATTGGCTCAGTTACTAAACTCCCTAATAATTGATATTACTACCTTTAGGATTTTAATTTAATTTAATTTAATTAATATTAATATTTACAAAATTTTTTTACTATAACAAGATAGCAGCAATGCACTCAAACTTTACTACATAAGCGCCATCTATATAATTTGAAGACACACTTACTTCTCTTTACAACACTTTGCAGACCCCAAACACTCATGGGGTAAGTTAGAATAAAAACTTACTAATACTTGCTTTAAGTATTTTTTTAAAAAAATTATTATGTAGTATTTAAGTATTTTCTAAATATAAATTTTTTTAAATATATTTATTTTAAAATTGTAATTAGTTCTTTTGTTTCTTTTTGTTTTATTTCTTATTGGTTTTATGGATTATGTATAGTTCTTTTATAGTTTCTTTTTATGATATGCATATTCGTGTAGGGAAGTTCTGTAGACAGAATCTAAATACATTGGTTCTAGATTTTTTTTTTATTATTTATAAAAATTAATTTTTAAAAAATTTATATTTTTAAGAAAAAGTTTATTCTTGACTTTACTTGCTTGTTCTCAAAACTTAATTAGTATTTCCTTTTTGAACTTTAATTCTTAAATGTTAATTACTTAAATGTAATTTCTAAGGGTACCACTTTATTGGAATTACTTTTGGTTTTGACTTTTACCCTTGCCTGCATGAATGACGAAACACAAATTGAATGATTGGAGAGTTAGGTTTGGAGGCAACTTCCCTTGATAAGTCTGTCTGCTGCCTACTCTACGATCATTCTCATATGCATTTTAAAAAAAAATTGTTTAATTTAATTTTCATTTATAAATTAGTCGATTTATTTCATGGATAGATTTACACTTGATTGCTTATGCTTCTGAATTTAAATGATATTGTAGATTAGTTCGAGAATTAAATCTTTTACATGTTTGCATATTTTTAAATTATTTTCGCTTTTTTCTTTTTTGAATTTAATTTGCTTTTTACTTTTTTACTTTTATACGTATTTGTTTAGAATTAAATTGTTTAAATTTAAATATTTAATTAAATATTATTTAACTTAATTTTTTTATTAACTCATTTATTTTATGAAATAATTTTCCTTTGATGTATCAGCTGAAGGTAGTAATCAGAATTATCAAACATTATATTCTATTTCTAGTATTTCATTTGGCAAGAAGAGAATTCTTTATCGAATCATGAAAGGATATTTTGTGAGATACAGTTTTAACTAAATGATGTGCTCAGATATTCAAATTATATATAATAAAACATAAGATTTTTTGGAAATATATATATGCAGCTAAACCAAAGCACAGAATGAGGAATGAGATTCTGATATTAACATATGTATGTGGGGGGGGGGATCATCAAAATCTTTTAAGTGTTTAGGGCTTCTGATAATCTTATTCTGCCTTGGGGGAGGGGGTTAGTACTTCACTTAGGAATGAAATTGTGCCACCTCAACTAACATTGGAATACTAATTGTGTTAATGTGGTCGTTCTAGAGAATAGGTGCATCACTATTAGAAGACTTATTGGCAGTGCTTTCAATCTGTGTTGGTAATGTAGAAACCATTGTGAATTGCACTGTGACAAGGTGTATACCCAGTGGATTACCTACATACACATTGATACACAAGAACAAAGTGATATGCTTGCAAACTGTCATTTCTCTCTACAGCAGTTGGAAGTTGAAGGGGTTGCATTTCAGAAGTCTGTAATGATTTTTGGTGAATTATGGGTTTACTAGTTCCATCCCAAGTCTCAGGCTGAAATGTGATTTGGAAAACATGCAATCTTCACGGCGTAAATGCATTGCAAGTTTACATGTTTAACTTTTTCATTTGTAATGAAACTTTAAAAAAAATTTAAAAAATAAATAAATAAAAAAATCATCTCTAGTTATATATAAACCATCCAGTGTTTTGTAATTTACAACAAGGATACAATTGTTATTTTAATTGATCACTTCACATAGTGAATTGAAAATAGTGATTGTTTGCTATTTTGGGATTTTGTGGATTTTTACGCTAGTTCGTCTCTTTATAACTGTCTATAGTAAAGTAGCTGGCAAGTATAGAATCTACATCTGTCACCACCTTTGTTGCAAAAATATGTTTAATTTCATATTTGGTCTTAGTGCTTTTCTCGTTGTAAAAATGACTACAAAAATAGTTTGAAATTAATGTAATTGTTACCTTGAAATTAAATTATCTGTTTATTATTCTAAAATATGTTCCCAACTATTACAGCTAAATAAAACATTTAACAAGTGACACCAACACACATTTTACATAAATAGTTAAACTTATTCTTGTAAGGACAGGCTTTGTCCTTCGATGATGTACAAAATATTGAATATCATTTTTCTGTCAGCTGTTTATTTTAATGTAATATATGATTAATGTAAAGAGAATATATTCATTTTAAGGATTAATTTAATGATCTGATGTTAATAGATATATATTTATTTTAATGTAATATATGATTAACATAAAGGATATATGTAGAGAAACAAGGGTGAAAGGGCTAATTAGAAGAGAGATTTTATTTTTGTGCTTACTTTTTTAAAAATTAATTTAGTTAGTTTTTTGTTGTATTAGTGTAGAGTTTACATGCAACAATTTATCGTAATTTAGATTTTACTAAAAAGTATTAAATTTTTTTATTTGCTATTTTGTAATCAACAGGTTAATTTTTATCATGACTCGTACATTGGAAATATGTGTAGATTCTATTACATCAGCTCTAGAAGCCTATCAGGGAGGTAAGTGTCATGTAAAATTTGATATCCTTAGTATAAATATGAATGACCATTTTTACATTAGTTTTATGTTTTTGCTTTTTATTAACATTTTCATAATTATAGGTGCTGTGCGGCTTGAGTTGTGTCATGAGCTTTCTGTTGGTGGTTTAACACCTAGTACTGGTAAGTCACAAATGATTTTTATTGTGCTAATTTTTTTAGTATTTACACTTTTCTAACAATTTGCATAACAGACATGTCTTATAACTAGTGTTTGATTCACTGTTTGGAAAGTTAATGCAGTACTGTTCTATTATTGAGACCAGTTTTAAATGTTGCCAAAAGCTGATGATTTGGCAAAAAAATTTGGTTAATCTTTGAATTATGGTAACTTGGCGATTTTTTGGCGAAAATTTGGTGACCAACTCTGCTACAGCAACCCTCTATTTTTTTTTTTTTTTCCAGACATGTTTCTTTTCTTTTTATTTACTCAACACTTTTTCCAACAATCTGATAGCCGAATTACACTTATGCTAGAAATTTTATGGAACAAAACTGCTTAATCATGACAAATATTAACTGCAAAATTGGGAAAAAGTGCAGAATCGCAAACTCCTTGCCGCGTTTTTCAGAAATCGCACATACACAGTAACCATGTACACGTCGACTTATTTTACTTAAAAAAACATCCCAGAATTGCACAAAAATGGCATTGCGCACACTCTTGACTTTATCCATCTACACTGCTATTTTCTCATAAATTACAAAAATTTGCACGAAAATGCAGGAAAATTTTGTGAATCTTTAAACTCGGTAAAAAGCACATATATGAAATTACCTGATCGCGAAAAAGTATATACCCTTTCCAAGGATGAACATTTCCACGTATAAAATATAAATAAAATATCCAAAAACTTTTACCTCTAAATTATCTATTATAAACGTCACCAACGAATTTATAACGCAAACATTAAAATGGTTACAAATACTTAGTGTCAAATATTTAAATTATTTCCATGCACGTTTACTTCCACTGAAACATATACCAAATTGCTACAAACATATAATTCACAAAATAACTATCATTTCCTTAAAGTATAATTAAACCATGTACACGTCGACTTATTTTTACTTAAAAAAGCATCCCAGAATTGCACAAAAATGGCATAGCGCACACTCTTCACTATATCCATGTAGCTTTTTTCTCATAAATTAGAAAAATTTCACGAAAATGCAAGAAAATTTTGTGAATCTTTAAATTCGGTAAAAAGGACATATACGAAATTACCTGAACATGAAAAAGTATATACCCTTTCCAAGGATGAACATTTCCACGATATAAAATAAATAAAATATCCAAAAATTTCCTCTAAAACTTTAAAAACAAGTTTAAAAAATAAAAACTTAATTACAAAAATTTATTATCTTAAATTCAGATTAAAAAAAAACGTTTATTCTAAATTAAGACACATAAAACACATAAATACTAATTCAGAAGTCAAACAACAAAAATCAGCGTTATATTTACAAAATTTTCACAGGACTAGTTTCGATGGTTTTACCGAACCATCATCTTCAGCTGCAAAACCGCAAATGAACAAGATAGGAAATAATGATTAGATAAGATAAGAAAGCCTGGACAAGAATAAGCAAGTGGCGCCATCTGTTGGCGAAACCAGAACTAAAACATAATTTCTCTAAAAGCCGAAGGCAAATTTGGATTGGAATTAGGATCGTTAACTAGAACAGAAAGATTTTTATGAATGTGAAATGCCTCTAGAAATCCAGTTCTCCAATGGAAGATGTTTTTTGAATAATTTTGGCAGCAGAAAAATTGAAAGTGTGATTTTCGGACCAACAATGTTGAGCAACAGAAGACTTCTGTGTTTCCTTTTTTCTAACATATGCCTCATGTTCTTTGACGCGAAATTTTAAGGCTCTCTTAGTTTGGCCAATGTAAATTAAACCACACTGGCAAGGAATCCTATAAATACCCCAGGAATTCATATCCGGAATGGGGTCCTTGAGTATAGAAGTTGGAATTTTATTGATGGGAGAATAAACAACCCGAAAGTTAAATTTCTGCAAAATATGTGCAACTTTATAGCTAATTGATGGAAAGAAGGGAATGACAACAGAATTTTTATAATCTCCTAACACTAAAGAGTAAACACAATAAAGAGTGTGGCTTTTAGTGTGTTGAGATGAGAATTTTTTAACTGCTTGATTAATAATGTTGGGTGAAAAGCCCCTGTCAATAGCTATTGCTTTTAAATAATTTAGTTCTTCATCAAGGGCTAGTTTGGAGGAGCAAACTTGAAGAGCACGGAAAACATAGGAATAAAATGAAGCTAACTTTTGTTTAGTCGGATGACATGATTTAAAGTGTGGTGGAAGGCAAACCGATGAAGGTTTACGGTAAACTGTAGTACTGAAGTTGGATGTGTTACGTGTGACCAGAATGTCGAGAAACGGAAGAGAATTGCAAGTCTCAAGTTCAAAAGTGAACTGAATAGCAGGATCAATAGAATTCATTGTTGAAAGAACTTTATTTAAATCATCTTTATTACCTTCAAACAGGGTAAAAGTATCGTCTACGTAGCGGAACCATGCCGGGAAGTTTAAAGTTTCAAACAATTTTGATTCATAATAATGCATGTAGATATCAGCCAGGATGGGACTGAGGGGGCTTCCCATGGCTAATCCCTCAGTTTGCTTGTAATATTTATTTTGGAAAACAAAACACAGAAGTCTTCTGTTGCTCAACATTGTTGGTCCGAAAATCACACTTTCAATTTTTCTGCTGCCAAAATTATTCAAAAAACATCTTCCATTGGAGAACTGGATTTTCTAGAGGCATTTCACATTCATAAAAATCTTTCTGTTCTAGTTAACGATCCTAATTCCAATCCAAATTTGCCTTCGGCTTTTAGAGAAATTATGTTTTAGTTCTGGTTTCGCCAACAGATGGCGCCACTTGCTTATTCTTGTCCAGGCTTTCTTATCTTATCTAAACATTATTTCCTATCTTGTTCATTTGCGGTTTTGCAGCTGAAGATGATGGTTCGGTAAAACCATCGAAACTAGTCCTGTGAAAATTTTGTAAATTAACGCTGATTTTTGTTGTTTGACTTCTGAATTAGTATTTATTCGCCGTGTTATTGTGTCTTAATTAATAAAAATTAGCTTACAATCCTAATTACTTTAAACTAAATCATGCTAAAAAATTTTCCAATAATACCAATTAATTTATTTACTCCTTACATTTAGAACAATGCATAAAAATAATATCTCAAATAATTAAAAATACTAACTTACTAATCTTTTTCAGAATCTTGAGTGCGTGGCAGTTATAAACTTTTTTTATAGGATTCAATAGAAATCATTGAATGATTTTTTCTGGGAATTTTTCCGCCATACTTCCTCTGCTAAATAAAAAGCAAAATTCTCCTTATCATAATGCTTCGGAATAGCACTTTTTAATAGCACTCCCACATGCCCTCTAATCATATTCGTATGTGCGCCTGTTTCAGGATCTTTAACTGTAATAATGAACCAATTTTCTTCTAGTATTTAGGTTAACAGCAAGATGTTGAAAACCTTCATCCTCCAAACATGCATATGACTTCCAGCAATCAGATATGATTTTTGTACCAGGTAGAATATACTGCTTAATAAAACTTCATAAGCAATCTTTACTTCTATCTCGCACAACCTTAAAAAAACACTTATTACTACCCCTTTCAATCCCACCAAATACCCATTTTCCTTCCATTCTCCTACCTCTCTGATACTTGCGCTTCTCAAACTTACTTTCATCAATTTCAACAATAACATTCATACCACCAAGCATACCCATATCATTCTCGCAAAATTCCACACACACTTCCCTACAGAAAGAGCTCCAGTCGGCTGCAGTAGTACTGCTAATTTCTAAATCCGAAATCCTGTAGTCAACTGGCAGTCTATTCAACCAGTAATAAGAAATTAATAAAATTTCACCCATACTCAAACGACTTTCAGCAAACCACGTACCCTTCCTTACACTCAAATGTCCATTTTCACCAGATTTCTTGCACGCCATTCAAACTTATCTGTAATATCCTTCCTTTTACACAATCTCATGTCATTCCTACATGTTGGACATTCATACTTATCTGCAATTAATCCTACACTCGTACACCATTCAACCAATTTTTTGGGATTATTAGATAAACGCAATAAAAATTTTGAATTCACTTTAGATAGCGCCATGGGATCCAAAAATTAATCAACACTCTTTCACACAACACACAATGAAGCTTAATACAAAATACTATAGTACTGCAGATATTTTTCTAAATTTCCCCCCTTTTCCAATTAAAGAACTGTAATTCGTCCATTAATGTCACATGACATATCTCATGATCCCTCATTTCCCTCACACAAAATAATGCGTAATCGGAACTGAGTACTTCTCGCATTATTCCCAAAGTCCTAGGTAGTAACCTTTATCGCCTACCAAAATGTCGCCAAACTAGCCGTTACCATATTCCAAAGATTAGCCAAAAACTCAAAGAATAAAAATAACCACCAATATATTTATGGTATAGTTAAGTGAAGAAAAATCCAAAAGAAGAAAATAACATAACACATATTCATAAAATTATAAATTTTAATGTAAACTAAACAACTTCCGAAAGAAATCAGGAAATAAAGAAATTTAGTTAGTGAACTAAGATTAATGTGAAATCATTAGGCTGTGTGTATCATTAAAAATGTCTGAAAACATTTGCGGTTATGCATAGCAACTAAAAACATTCTTTTGTTCTCGGCAAATCCTATCATACATCCACTGTAGAGGAAAAATACAACCAGATTTATTTTTTTTCAACATAGAAACAGACTTTTGTCCAACTTAATACTACCAGTGCCACTTATTTTAACTGACGGTCTAGATATTAATGCATGGCCAAAGGCTTTCCTTATGTAACTATCCCAATCAACAACAGTAGAGTGATTTATATCAAGTTGATTCTGACCAAATTCAAGGAAAGTAAATTCTAAACACCACACATGTTTCATCATGAGGTAAGTCTTAAATTTTCATATCCATGGTAAATACAGTAATAATAAAGATTCAAGTTATCATTATATCTTTAAAATTTGTATTCTTGTTGCCAGTTTTGAAAAGGCATTCTTATACTTTTTAGAAAAGTAAATATTATAACGAATTTAAAAGTAAACATTGAGAACTTCATAACTCTGGTTTCGATAATGGAACAGTGCCATTAATACTTTTACTCTTCTTTCATGTGTAATGAACTTTTATTTATATAAACCATAATTTGTTTCATGTTCAGAGATACAATTAACCATTTAAAATGACTTTGTGTACTTTTTGTGGGATATCTACCAAGAAAAGATTTTATTTCATGCAGTCAATATATTTAATACATATGAAACAGGACTTCAGTTTTTGCAGTATTGAAATTTCACTGAGCAACAGCAATATTTTTTACACATGATAAAATTCTCTAAAAGAGTTATTAACATGTGTATTTAAACCTTGTTAGAAAATGACCCAGATAGTAATCACATTAGTTGTTAGGTCAGTGTTTTGGGTCCTGCCCAATTCCTATTTCATATCCATTTAAAGTAAACTGCTTATAAAATTAGGCTCTTAGGTATTTTTCAGTTGGGCTGTGAAAATGTGGAGATTTTGTCAAAGTTGTACCAACCATTCATGCAGGATAAATGAGCTGCACTTCTACTTGCAATTCTTACAATAAAACAGTCAGTGCTGGTGCTGGCACTAGACTTTTTTCCACCCAGTGCAATTACTTTGATTTCTAGAATCTGCCACCCAGTAACTCCCTAAATTTTTCAATTTTACCACCCTTTAATTCTGCCGTCGGTGCAGCTGCAGGCATTGCACATTCTCTTCATTTTTTAACAGTAGGCTTTCATTAATTTCTATTATTTTGTTAGACTCTGAAAGGTTTGTTTAGAATGCTAGCAGTAACAGTTTCCCTCACTTGATTGTTCTAATCTATCACTGTTTTGTCAGCTATATCCAGCTGCCGTAAATTAATGGGAGTTTGGTCACAAATGGGTTTCACACTCCTCAAACACCACCTTTTCCTTTTAAAATGCAAGAGAAAAGAATACTGCAATAACAGTTAATTGATATCCTTTATAAACACAAAAGTTGGCTTATCTAAAATCAAATGAGGTTACACCAGATGAAAGTGCAGATGTTATGAGTGTGATTGTTGCATCACATGTATCCATAACTAGTGCTAAATCACACTGCTTGGTTGCAGTTTCATACTCAATGGGATAGTATGTAAGTATATAAAATTACTCTGGAAATGATGACTCTTACTTTCATGTCACATTCAAACACAAAATGTGAGCAAATTTTATGCATGTTCCAGAAGGAAAACAGACTCCTTTTGCTCTAACATTTTCATTCAGACTGAAACAGTATTCCTTGTCCCCTGTAAGGAAGTTATAAAATCAATTATTATCTGCCAATTAAGAAGACAAATGCATGTTAGCTATCCCTTTCCCTAGGCATGTAGAAACATATGTTTTCCAAATTCCACCAGAGCTTTTGTTTTAATCTAATGGTTTGGTCCATATGTGAGAGAAAAATTGTTTTGTTGTTTTAATATTTTACCAGATTTTTTGTCAGTTTTTATAAAGTAGTCAGTTGTAACCTTGAAAAAAAAGCTTTTTCAATATGGAATGTTCAGAGTCATTGTAAAGGAACTTCTCAAAAAGCAAAAGAGTTACTGATATTTAAAAAGTTTGAATACCATTTTTGTCTACTCGGAGAACATCATCAGATCGAGTATAGATGAAAACTCAAGTATTTGCACCATATTTTCTTTGCAGAAGTGTGATATTTATTATCTTGCAGTGTTCCTTCATATGAATGCTTTAAAATGTACTTTTAATGCTTAATAAGACTCATCATTTTTAGTTTTGCTTAGTTATTTAAATATTATGTTGATTTAAACCAAAAAGGCCTATTCTTTCACTCCAGATAACAAATTTGTTTGGGTAATAATTCAGTTTGAAGGATGCAGTTTTGAAATAGACATTTAACTTAGCTTGCTGATGATTTGAACATCTGATATTAGTTTTCGTCTACACACTTTGGAACAATTTTGTATGTAACTGATGGCAGTAATGAATTTACATAATTTGTCGAGACTAGAAGATATCAAAATTTTAATATAATCTACGATAAAACAGATGATTAAAATAAGAAAAGTAATTTTTGTATGTCTTTATGTGTTTTTAATCCATATTTTCTTATGTACATTATTTTGCTCTGTAAAAATGTCAAAACAAAATTAATTGCTTTATATTCTTTCTTTAATTTGTTTTTATTTATTCTGCCTTTTTAACAGAAATCATTAGATCTTAGAAAAATTATTATATGCTAAATTGGTAAAAATATATTTATGAGTGCCCCTTGGTGATAATTGGCGGTACATGGACACTGAGTTTGTGTAATTCTTTGAGTTATTATTTTGGCTTTGTATAGCGGCGATTTTTATGCCTAAAATCACTGCTACACAAATCCAAAATAACATGTTAAAGAATTGCACAAACGCAATATCCATGTACCCATCAACTACGTTACACTTGAAAAAACATCAAAGAATTGCATAAACTAAGCATCGTGCACTCCCTTTGACTTTGTCCTTTGTCCATGTACTACACATCGATCTATATTCACTTAAAAAAGCAAAGGAGCAGCCAACAAAAAATAGATGATCTCAATAAACTATAGTTTAAATCTAGCAATAGAAGAAGAAATCCATCTTAGCACTACACAAAGGAAATATCCAATTACCTTATTTACAAATTTATGTGTCTTCAGTCAGTCAAAATTCCTTAGCAGCATCTAAAACTTCCTAAAATTATCTGAACTAGAATCTGACTATTGGCTTCCCCACATGAATTTATAAAAATAAGAGTCTAAAATATCCTCTGTAATCTTCAATCAATACTTTTTCCCCTTTGGTTCCAAATCGTACAAAAACTTCAAAATTAATCTTACTACATTCAGCTATTTTACTGCGTAAAGCACAGAATAACAATGTACTTATCCAAAATCCGACACACACTTTCCAAATCTTTTCTCATCATTCAAATTGACCACAATTCTGCAACCAATTACGTCATAATAGGGTTTCCATAACATTCAACTATTCAGGTTACCATAAATGAAACAACAACTTGGTGATAAATAAAACGGCAACTTGGCGATAAATGAAACAACAGCTTAGCGATAATCCAAGGGGCACCCTTAAATCCACTTTAAATCTATTTATTCATCTTTTATGATTTAAAATCTGCTTAATGTCTGGTTTCACATTGTATGAATTTTCACATTAATAAAATATATACTTTTGTATTCTGAAGGCTTGATGAAAGCAGTAAAGAAATTTGTGCCTATGCCTGTGCATGTATTGATTAGACCAAGATCTGGCGACTTTCAATATAATTCAGCTGAAGTTTGGCAAATGGTGGAAGAAGTAAAAACAGCTGTTAGCTTAGAAATGGATGGAATTGTTATTGGTGCTTTAGACGAGTAATAAATAAAAAGTTTCTCTCTATGTTACTTCTAGTACAGAATTTTCTTAAAATTAATTATTCTGCTTAACTACCACAGTAGAAGCATATTTTAAATGACAGCTTTTTAAAAAGAATTAACTATTTAAATTTGCTTAAATTATTTCATTGACATCAAGTGAAATTATTTTAAGAATCAGAGAACTTCTGAAGTTGCCTAAAACACATCAACTTTTTACAACTGTTAACCTGTTCTACTAGATTGAATTATTATTTTCTGGGCACTAACTAAAGCTTAGGCATATTATTCAACATGAATATGTGCAGACTTTTATCTAATTTTAAAAATAATATTCATGTAAGATTTAAATTAGCTAAACAAGATGGTTAAAAGCTAGGGAATTAGTCTCTCTTTGTGTATAAAGTTGTCAGGAATGTATACTGCACAAGAAAAAGGGGAGGACTGTTCTAATTGATGAAATTGCATTTTTCATGTCTCAAAAGTGTCACTTAGAATATGTATTAGATGCATATAAAGCCTTGTTCTAACATAGGTATTTTGACACAAAATCACACTTTTTTCTGCAATGACATACTTATTTTTTCCATGTTTCCATTCTACAACTCAAATTATATGCCAGTATTAAATTTGTAAAATTTGCTGAGAAATTCAAAAATTTATGTTGGTGCACTTTTTTCAGTTTGCGGCAAGAATAAGTCACTTGGCGAAATTCTTAATTTATGGTAACTGATTTTCCTTTACCTTTCATTGAACATAAGTAGAAGAAAAGGTGTGTCATTCGTTCTTTAAAATAATTTTAACAAAGTGCATAAACCATATTTGGCATTATTATAACTTATAACAAATATGGTAAATTTAAAAAACTTTCCAATATGTAAATTCACATATATTTTGGGAAATTTTGAATAAAAAGCTCTAATTTTTGCAGGTGTGCTTAGAAATACATCTACTTTAAGATGATGGCAAAAATTGTATAGGTTATAATTAAAAACATTTTTTGAAAAATTTATAAAAAGGTATTAAAAAGTATAGATTTTAAAAACCAATCAGAAAATAGCTGCAAATTTTACTTTGATTGAACCTAAATATCGAATTGTGAAAGAAATAATCAAGTAAGTTTAATAAAGAAAAAAAAAAAAAAAAATGCCAAATTCAGTTAACATGACGAATTAAAATTTTGAAACTACGTGTTTAAAAATTATGTGTGCAGCTTTTATAGCACTTTGATATAATTCGAGATGTAGAATTGAATATAGAAAAAAATCGATACATCATTTCAGAAAAGTCCAGTTTTGAGTCAGAATACCTGTGTTAGAAATATGCTATTTATAAATCTAATAAATATCCTAAGTCATGCTTTTGAGACATGAAAAATGCAAGTTAAATTTCATCAATCTGCCCAGTAGAACAGAAGATATAAAACTGCCACATATTTTTGTGTGCAAGGTGTACTTTGATATTATTTATTGTAATAGGATAATAGCATTCATTATGTATGTTATCATTTGTAGACTATTAAAATTTTAACAAAGGGCTTTATCTTGTAAAAACAAAATATCAAATTCTAATTAAATGCTTTACATTTTACAAAAATAACCAATAAAAATAATTGTGCATAAATTAAAAAACATTTTTAAATAAAAAAATATTAAAAAAATTCTGATGTGGCTAGCTCATGACCACCTGATAACTTCATCTTAAGACATGTTATTGGTGAAATAACAATAAGCTTTATGTAAACTATCACTTCTGGTTGATGGTTTGTAAATAAAATATAATGTGTTTATAAACTTTATAACTCAATGTTAATTGTAAACACTACTCATATTTTATTATTCTGTTCTCCCATACAACAGACAGTGATAACTATTGTGCACATCTGTTCACAAGCTTTGATTTGAAAATATTGCATCGATCACAGTGCATTCTCTGGTCATACAGTGTTTCAGATTCACAAATTAGTAACTTAACATTTCTTTTTCAGTCTTTTCTCTGTTTATGATATTGGGTTTAATTTTTTGAATTACAGTGCCAATTTTTTATATTTATTAAATATCATTTTCTCTGCGATTATGCCACATAAAATTCAACAACAAAATCACAAAATCTTTAAAATCAGCATATCTTTAGAATTCCTAGTAGTGTTTATTGTTACCATATATATTTTTTTTTAAATTTTCACTCTATTAGTTTTATTTGCTCTATTAGTTGTTATTATTATCTATTAGTTTATTTCTTTAAAAATAATTCATAGCAATAACATTTGGTGGCAGCATCCTTTGATTTGAAGAGTGATTTGACACATGAGTGAAACAAACACAAAGTTGAGGACTGAGACGTTTAATTGCTTTATAACAAGATATATAATGCATTTAATTGCTTTATAACAAGAGCTTGCCTTCATAATGAGCATATTGTCATTGCGTCTAGCATAACTGCAAGAATACATTTAATACTGATAAATGTAACATGTTGTTTCTCAATCACATTTTAAATACCAAATATGGAATTCTACTTGTAGCTTCAAGTATATCACTTCCAGTTTATCAGTTTTAGTCAAAATCTAAGATGGAAACTTTTTGAAGCCTCATATAGGTATTATCATGAACAAAAGAAAGAATCGTAGCACACATGCAGACAGACATCATTGTAGAAACAGTGGAAAGGTATTGTGCAGGCACTAATTCTTGCTTATTCACTGAAAACTCAAAATCGAATTTTTAGTCTGAAGACATTACTTACTAATGCACTTTGGTTGGTGAGAGGTAAAAACAGAATATATCGTACAAATTACCTGAAATAATAAGTAAATTTAATTATGTGGAACAGTTTTTGCTGAAACTTTTGCACACTTTTTTTTCAAATAACTGCTAATCAATGGATTTATCTTTTTAATTTGTGATGCATCTGCAATGTTAATTATTCTAAAAATATGTTTTTGAAAATTTCTTCTTTAAACAAATTACACATTAAAGTTTTTTAATTAGCATTTTGATCTGTAATACATGTGATCAGATTTAAAGTGTTATTTACTAAGCAAATCTTTTAATATATAATTTTCAGTATGCAAATTTATTAAACACATATTTTATGTATGTTTTTGACATTTTCAATATATTCCCCTAGCATCATGAATTTTATGAAAACACTCTGATGAAGCAGCAAGACCATTCTGTTATTTTTTTTTAAGTGTTATTTTCTTGTCCTCCATTTTTACTGCTATTTTAATACAGTTACAGTCTTTACTCTGTGATTTTTAATTTATTCCACTAGAAGTAATTGCAAGTAGTAGCATTACATGAGAGATTCAGGTAAATGAAGCCATAGTAAGCTTAGATGAATAAGGAGTCTGTGGAGATTTTTTTTTTTTAATATGTAGCTCCTATCTATGTTAAATCTTTAAACTTATTCAGCCTTATAGTATGAATTATGATAATATAGGGATATTTCATGCTATATCATGATATTCGAATGTGCAACTTGTACTTTTGAAAAGCTCTGCATTTGTAAATGGTTTTTAAATACTGCAGTTTGCTTTGTCAAGTAACTCTGGAGATTAAGACCATAATTCATCAAACAAGATCTAGTTCTTATGTGTGCCATTCCATGATGTACAGAAAAATAATATTTCGTGTACTTTTTGACACTTGTTGCAACTAGATATGGACACATCTGTAAATATTTTTCAGTCTAATTTTTTGTAAATATGTTTTTACTTGTTGATTCTCTTTTTGCTAGCTAGTGCTAAATTGTTTAATTAGTTTCACTTTGAGGCAAAGTGTTTTTTGAAGACAAGTTTGACTTTCTTTTGGTCTGATTTTGGTATCATAATAATTTGTCTTTCACACAATAAGCAATTTCACAAGTATCTGTTGAAAACATTGTGACAACTTTTAAAAACTATGAATTATGACAATTTCTAAATTTGTAAAAGTTAAAACAAAAAGATTTTCAAAATTTTATTCAAAATTGAAGTGGAGTTCAGGCAGGTGGCTATCTTGTGCTTTGCTTATATTAAATAATCCAAATTAAACTTTTCAATTTTAGAACCATGTTCAGTTTATGAAATTATTGGAAACTAGTTTGAAGACTGAGATTTGTAAGATGAGTATGTTTCACATTCTTAAATTACATTTGTTATTGAAAAAGCTCTGTTGTCTAACTTTGGTCACTTGTTATGAATGAATCTGTGCATTTTTTTTTTTTTTTCTTTTCAAATTCCATCTCACTTTCTTGCAATTTTGAGCTCTTTTTTTCTATAAATATCTTATTTTTAACTATTAAGGGTAAATTTGTTCATTTGAAAAATTTCTCTTTATTTTAGGAATCGTCAGGTTGACAAGAATGTATGTCAGCATCTAATAGGTATAATCTAATATTAAGCATTTATGTATATACATATATGTAAGCATTTATGTATTTATTTATGTCGTGCTTACATGTATGTAAGCATTTATATATGTATTTGCATATATGTAGAGATATATATGTGGAAATACATACATGCACGCATATATTCATACATTTCTGAATCTGGTCCCGGTAACAGAACAGTGCCCAATATTATTGCATTCTATGTAAACATTAAAGTACTGTTAAGTTTTCTGTTATTAATAATGTTATTTAAAATTTTGGAGTCTTATAATTAAATTAATCTTTGCATTGTATATCATTTTAAGAATGTTATTTTTACTCTTTCTTGCAATCTTGTTTATCCCTATAAACATATCTAAAAACTTAATTCTTTGCTCTAAAATGTTATTTTTACTCTTTCTTGCAATCCTGTTTATCTCTATAAACATATCTAAAAACTTAATTCTTTGCTCTAAAATGTTTTTCTTCACTTTCTTCCATGAACCTATCAGTAAAAAAATAAAAATATTTATAAAGCATATTGTTTAACATTTCAACAAAAATTAATCTGTCTTAATAAATTTAAAAAAATTAATTGTTGTTTTATTGCGTGGTCTGGTGAGAAAAAGCATTGCTTTATATTCTGAATATTTTTGCTTAAATTTTGTTATTTTTAAAGAAATTCTATAATAGTTATTTTGAATTATTGTTGAGATTTATCTGAAGGTATATTTCATTATTTGAGTAATTTTTATTTTCAAATTCTTTTCAGTAACATTAGACATAATATATGAGTAGTCAATCAAATAAAGTAGAATATTTATTTTGCACTTAAAATAAATAAAAATTAATTTATTAGAAGACTTTTTTAATATCTGCAAACAAAAGCCAGAATATTAGTGAAACTTATTAAGTAATGCATACTTTTTTTTTAAAATTAGATAAGCAATCACCTTTCAGAGCAGTGATTTTCAAACTTTTGTTCTTTGTGCCTCCCTGTTTTAATTCGAAAAATTTTCCACCACCCCCAATCCGTAGACCTAGGAATTCAAATAACACTAGGCAACATTGTCTAGTCTAGAGTGCCAGATAGTCTAGTCTAGATGTTATAGGAAAGTTCGCGCCATGTATCCAAGCTTCCTGACCTTTCTCAAACTGAATTGAAGCAATGCAAATATAAATAGAGAAGAGCACACATAATATTCTCAGTTCAGGTTTTCTAGCACTAATCAGCATTATTGGGAATTATAAGTAGATGTAGTATGGATAAATTTTTAAACAAAAACTTGATGATGACAGGGTTTGTACATCGACAGGTTCAAGTGGAGATCATCCAAAATCTAAAACAAGAAAATAGTATGAAGCCAAATAAATTGAAGAGGCATCTAGAAATGCTGCACAGAAAATATGTCAATAAATTGCAAGAATTTTTTTTTTTTTTTTTTTTTTTTTTTTTTTTTTGAGGAAAAACTGAGATTGTTCGAAACAACAGAAGTCAAACTTTCCATAAAGTGCTGGCAGTAAATAAGAAGGCTCTCTTGGCATCATACAAAGTGCCTTACAAAGAAGCTAAATTCAAAACCCCCACACTATTGCAGAGCAGTTCATTTGACTTGCTTGCAAAGATATTGTAGAAATTATGTTTGGTGAAAATTTTGCTTCACAAATTAACAATATTTATCTGTCAAATAAAACAATCTGTCGACGAATTAACGATGCATCAGTTGATATTCAGCAGCAACTTGAATCTGAGCTTAGTAGGAAATCGTTTGCTATGCAACTTGACGAAGCAACTGACTCCCGTAACGATTCCCATTTGATTTGCTACATTAGCTTCTGTCAAAGATTCTAAAATATGTGAAGATTTATTGTTTTGTAAACAGATAGAAGGAAGAACAACAGCCACTGAATTGTTCAAAATTACAAATGATCTATTACTAAAACGAATTTGCAGTGGGAAAATTGTGTTGTGATTTGCCCCGATGGAGCTCAAGCCATGTCTGGCAAATACAACAGTTTACAAATGCTAGTAAGAAATGAAGGTTCAGAAATGATCTGGATGCACTGCATGATACATCAGAAAGTGTTAACATCAAAATCGCTAAGCCCTGGACTATAGTTTTGACAGTAGTTATTGAAGTACACTCATGTCCATAAATTAAGGATAATTCGGATTCACATGGAAATCGAACTCTAAAATAAATATATCACCAGTAAAATCACTACACACATCTTCAAGAATCATATGCAAATTTCAGGAAGTAACCAGATGACACCGATGGTACGTCACAATGACGAGAGTGTAAGAGAGTGATATATAAGGAATACAGGCAAAGAAGTAAAATTGTTCGTAATTGTTTCGCAGGCACTTTATAAGCATTTTAGTTGCAATAACCGAATAGTTATGACACAAAGGACGCATTTGGAGGATTTTTTACGTGGTAGAATTATCGGCCGTCTGGAATGTGGACGTACCCAACTGGAAGTATCAGACAAACTTGGAATTGCTCAGAGTGTCATCTCCAGGCTTTGGCAACGATTCCAAGATGATGGTAATGTGAGTAGACATTCACAGATCGCCCCAGAGTTACAACGCCGAATGAGGACCGGTATTTGGCAGCTACTGCCAAAAGAAACAGGCGGAGCACAGGCTCAGACCTGTCTCGTCAGCTCTCTTCAGCCACTGGTATGACAATTTACAATTTCAAGGCAGACCGTGTACAGATGCTTGGGCATATTGCTGTATATGCTCGTAGACCTGTCAGATGCTTTCCACTTACTGCAACTCACTGTCGCCTGCGGTTAGCTTGAGTAGAGAGCATGCATTGTGGACACCGCAACAGTGGGCTTGTGTGATGTTTTCCAACGAGTCCAGGTTTAGCTTGCAGTCTGGTTCTCGCCGGACTTTCATATGGAGAGCTCCAGGCACCCGTTACCACCAAGAAAACATCATTGAACGACACCGTTACGGTGGTGCAGGAGTGCTCGTTTGGGGTGGAATTATTCTGGTTTCCAGAACTGACCTGCATGTTCAAATTGGAACTATGACAAGCCAAATCTATCGGGACGTCATTCTGGAACAACATGTACGTTTGTTTCGGGGCGCCATGGGCGCACAAGTTGTGTTTATGGCTGACAACGCCCGTCCTCACTGTGCAAACATAGTAAGCGAATGCCTTCAATCGGAGGATATCACCCGTATGGACTGGCCAGCATTCTCACCGAACTTGAATCCAGTAGAGCACGTGTCGGACATGTTTGGCCGACAAGTTGCAGCCCGTCAGCCTCCTCCTACATGTCTACCGGAACTTTGGAGAGCATCGCTTTTTGAATGGTGTAATATCCCCCAAGATCAGATCGATAATTCGATACTCAGCATGCCTAGGCGTTGTACGGACTGTATTGCATCGTCTGGGAGGCATACAATGTATTAACAACCAACCATGTAATACTGATTTTTTTGTAAATAGTTTTTTTTTTTTTTTTTTTTTTTTTTTTTTTTTTTGTAATTTGCTCCAGGGAGGAAAAATCGCTAATTTTTTTAATAATATCAAACCTATAGCATCTTTTTTTTGCTATTTACCTTTCGTTTAATAAATAAGCTTTACAAATAAGTCAAATTTGTTTTGCTTCCAACTCTTCCTTTGCCTGATTTTGCATTATTCTTAATTTATGGACATGAGTGTAGTTAACTTCATAAAAACCAGGCCACTAAAATCAAGGATGTTCTCTGTTCTGTGTGAAGATATAGGAGCTGAGCATCAGTCTTTGCTATTTTATTCCTCATCCAGATGGTTGTCACGTGGTAAGGCGGTTCAATGTGTCTTTGAACTAAGAAGGGAAATAGCGATATTTTTGAGCGAGGAAGGTCACAAGCATTCAACAGATTTCTACAACTGATTATTTTTATTGAAACTTTCTTATTTAGTAGATATTAAAAATTTAATATACTCAATCTTCAGCTGCAAGGAAAAGACATAAATATATTTGATTCAAGTAAAAAAGATTGACTCTTTTTGTAAGAAAATACAGTTATGACATAACAAATTGAAAGAAAACAGTTTTGAAATGTTTCCCACATTGTGAAATTTTGTGAAAGATTCATCTTTGGAAGATAATAACAAAGCTGAGATACAAAAACCATGGAAAGCCATTTAGAAAACTTGAGTAAGAATTTCAAACGATACTTCTTTGCAGAAAATGATATCAATTTTTCAGACTGGACCTGGGTTTTAAATCCATTTGAGAATAGACCTGCCAGACTACCACTACAAGAAGAAGAACAACTGATAGATGTTTCAGCAAGTACCATACAAAAGTCTTTTCCAATGTCTTATCTTTGTGAAATTGGATTTTCTGCAATTGCTGCCTTAAAATCTAAATACAGAAATAAACTTCAAGTAGGAAAGAAACTCGGAGTGGCCATCTCCAACATGAAACCAAATTTAGAGAAGTTGTGCACCTTAAAACAAGCGCATGTTAACCATTAGTCCTTAGAATGTTTCTTTGTCATTGTTAAATAAAATTTCAATATTTTTTAAATCTATCTGTAGCATTTTATCATTATCATTTTATTTTCAATCTGTAGTGTGCCCCACAATCATGTAAATGTGCCCCCTTAGGGGGTTGCCCCACAGTTTGAGAAACGCTGCTGCAGAGCATGACTTTGTCGGTATCGTAATTTATGCTTTTTGAATCTATGTATAATTTTGTCCTATCTGCTGATTTGTTCCAGTTAATCCTTCCTGATTGTTTATGTCAGTGAGCTGCAGTGTTGTTTTCTGTCTCTCACACCCATGATATTGCCAGGTTAAAAAATGTTATATTGAAAAGTACAAAGTTTAATTTATAGTAAGTAACATTTTCTTGCATTTTAAATCTTATTAGGATAAGCCATTAGCATTCCACTGCAAAGTCCTCAAAAATTTGTATTGAGAGTCAGATCTCTTGATAGAGCTGTAGATCATTTTGCTGTAAAATATGTTGCCTGGGGTACACCACATGAATGTAGATCTACTTCACACCTTGCGGAGGTAGATCTACTTTATGTCAAGAGCTTCTCCTTCAAGCTATTGACTTGGAGAATGATTCCTGCTCTTCAATTGTCGATTACTGTTTTGACCTTCTGAACTGGTTCTCAAGTAATGACAAAGAGGTTGTACTTTAATAGATTCCTGCCCGTTGTAGAGTTCAGGGTAATGAGGCTGCCAATTTCTTGGTTAAGAAGGGAGTTTATATCCTTCAAACAACCTGGTGTCCCCTATAAATCCATTAAGTCAGCTATTAGGAAAGCCCTCGGGCACTCCTTTTTCCAAGAACTCATAGATTGAAATAGAAATTAATCATGATTTTGACAGTTTCTGGAAGTATTCGAATAGCCTAATAAGAAATCTCTTGCATTGTTCCATCTTATACCTGGCGATGACTGGCTTTGTAAGCACCTCAGTGAATCAAAACGTTGCTTCTGACTTTCTTGCCCTTTTGCAATAAGGAAGACATGAACTTGCTATATCTTTGCAAATGCCTGCACTTTCTCATGTTTTGATTTGGGAGTGCTACTGGGTGGCATAGAGCCTCCTGAGTGTATAGGTATACTCATTTCGTTTATTGTCTGTGTTTTGTACTTTATTTGATGCTCAACTGTCTTGTAATGAGCAAATTAGAAATTTAAAAAAATCTTATTAGGAAAACTAGATGTGCAGCTTTAGCTTATTTTAAGTATGTACAGTCTCAAAAGTCGTTAATTTGGACACCCATAATCCGGAACCAAAGCTACAAACTTTCTGCGCATGCGTCAAAGTGATGCATGCGCATAGGACCTTTACGGCTGCTAATATGCGTTTAATGTATAATGGACGGTATAAGCTAAGCTAAAATTATCTAATTCAGTTAATGTTGCAGATTGCGTTGTTCCTTAATCTTCGAATTGGATCCGGCTTATTATTTTTTGCAGACTGTTAGAGCAATTTTATAAAAGTAAGCTTGAACTTTCGATTATGTCAAATAGAATTTCCGATATATATTTACTAATATGTAAAGGATCTACAAAGCGAAAGTATGTTTCGAAGTCCATTAAACAAAAGTGGAATTGCTGCAAAAAATGACCTAACCATTCCAAAATCTGTTTATCAATTTCACGCTGCTCTGCGGCGGAGGGGGGAAACAGAAATGCTGCGGCGTGCAATGAATTGGAAGTTGATCTGTCAGCACTGTCCTTATCTTCAGGGCAGATGTTTTCATTTTATTTGGCTTATAATTCCTTACTAAATGTAGTATTTCATCTCGATGTATTCCGTCTTTGATATGATTTAAATCAAATTCCTCGTCATTATAATTTGCTTCCGATAGTGAAGAAAGTGACACAGAGGTTATTGAAAACGAAAAAATTTCGATTGACAAATTACTCGGTATTCTCGACACGGCAATTATAGGACTTGAACAGCGGAACTTTGTAACTGAACAAAAAATTATAGAATTGCTTATAGAATTAAAGAGAAAGTATTATCACATAAAACGAAGCAACTTAAAAAACAACTTACATTGAAAGAAATGTTTAATAAAGTGAACAAATAAATATTAAGCTTTTTTTTTTTTTTTTTTTTTTTTTTTTTTTTTTTTTTTAAATTTTGATACCCTTTAGATCATAATTGTTCTTTATTTCATAAATTACGGTTTCATATTTTTTATTTTATAATTTCTGCATGCCCATCTTACTAGATTTAAACTGATGATCTATAATCTGGAAAAATCGATAATCCAGAATCGCCGAAGTCCCGACGAGTCTGGATTAACGACTTTTGACTGTATTTTGTTTAAAAAACTTTATTACTACAATATTCCTTTAATTAAAAATTAACTCTTTCTTAAGGTTATTGTTGAAGGATAATTAATGAGTGAATAATTAATGAACTGTTTAAATAATAATACATTTTCCTAAGGGATCCCCTTCAGGCAATGTCAGTCTTCTGTGGTATCCTAGAAAGCCTGATTATCAGTGCTGTTCAGTTAATTATGTATTAGGTTGCTAAGTATATGCTAAAAACCTTAGAAGCGTACTGTAAACTCATATTTTGTATAAAATCAAAAAGATAAGCCTTATTAGGAATATCATTATTAAAAGTTGGTAACAGACATATTATTGATTTGCTAATTCTTAGGCAGATTTTTAATCCTATCTCTATAGAATTGAGCCAGCTTAAAAGCAGAAAATTTTACCATCCATCCATTTACTCAGCTTTACCTCATTGTTGAAAAGCCCTGATTTTATTTGTTGTAAATTGTGTAGAGGTGTTATAATAAATTTATACTTTTTGGTATATTTGTTTACATTTGGGTGACATGAAAACATAGAGAAATATCACTTCCTAGTGGTGTTAAAGATTTCTCAAATTATTATATAGCTCAAAATACTTCAGCTAGCTGTGCATTCGCCACCGTCCTGGACAAAATATCGATGACATTTTTTGCGTACTGTTTTATTATTTGCTTTTTTGTCAGTTTTATGTGCTGTGTATTGTTCTGTTAGTTCAATACAATTGTTAAATTTGATATTAGTTTGAAACACATTTTCTTTTTTCCCTCTTTTTTTTTCCCCAAAGATTTAGTTTCATCTATAAATGCATCATTGTTCTTATTTTAAAATATTTTTTTTCAGCTAATGCTTTTGGTTTGCCTGTTACATTTCACCGAGCCTTTGACTTGACAGCTGATCCCGAAAGAGCTCTTGAAGACATCATTCAGTTGGGATGTTCTAGAATTTTAACTAGTGGGCAACAGGTGTCTGCTTATAAAGGAAAAGACAAAATAAGGGAATTAGTAGAAAAGGTAATTTATGGTTTCACCTATCTTTATCACATCATTAGAAACTGAAAACAGAGCATTTTTTGTGGGTAATTTTGGAAAATTTTGCATTAAATAAGACAATTTTGAGTGTCAGCAACTGCCACAAATAATTTTTGAAAAAATTCTTTCCCTTCCCTCAAGAATTATTGCATATCTTCAAGACATGTTTTGAGAATTATCTATATTTACTGTTTCATTTTTGTTCTTTTATATTTAACTAACAAGAAAGGATAAAAATGGTAGGCCAGTTATTTTCTTTCTGTTAAAAATATCAGTACTTACTCGTTTTTCTTTTTCAAAATTGCAATTAACTTTCACAAAAAAAAAAAAAATTTATACAGTTTTTTTTTTTTTTTTTTTTTTTTTTTTTTTTTTTTCTTCTCCTATAAAAATAGAGCATACTGAAGATCAGGGATACATGAAACCAAAGTGAAATTCTGATGAGCATATTATGATGTTACATTTATCCTATATTTGTGATAAATTGCATTTTTTGGTTGCATTGTCAAAAATACTCGATGCCAAATTACATAAATACCAAAATTGCCTATCTGCATAAACATATTACACTGCATTAAATACATAAAATACTACATTTTCTGACTAAACCAAGTCATAAAATATTTGTAAATTATAATATTATTTATTATTAATTATTATTGATTAGAATTTATTTTTTTATGCCTATTCTTTAATAAAGTGTATGACTTACATTTTGATTATATTATGCTAATTCTTTATTTTCCGGAGTAGTTCAAGTTATTTATTATTAACTGAATGATTCTGGAGCAGGATTTATATTAAAATAATGTATTTCTTTCTGTGCCTCCATATTTTTTTATATAAAATATAAGGCTTTCAAGAAGAAACTGTATATCTGTGTTTATCAATTTGAATAATCACATATTACTAAAAATTTAATAACATTGAAAAGTAAGCTTAAAAGCTGCATAAATCATGAAACATTTAAATTAGTTAATTCAATCCTATGTCTACAGATAATTGATTTTATGTTTTCAAAATTACACTTGTAACCAAGTCTTGCAGAATTCATACATGCCTACTAATGTACATTTTTTCAGTTAAGTACATTATTTATAATTAAATACTGGTTATTACTAAACAATATTGTCATCATTCCATTGCTCAGGTTATCCAAAACTTCAATTTTATGTCATTTTCTCACCTTCAAATAAAATTTGTCATTCCATTCTTAAAGATTTCATTTCTGGTATTAAGTCTTGAATAATTTATGTCATATCTTAACATATATTGGCCAAATTGTTCGTCAAGGAACACGAATATTATGTTTGAAAACGGAAAATAAATAAATATTTAATAAGCAATTACAGCTGGGCATGTAATCATAATTTTGACTTTAGTTCTACAAAAGTTATCCGTAAAGCTTCTTTAGATGGTGAACTGGGTGTTCTTAAAACTGTTCTCATTCATAAAGATCAATTTTTATGAATGGGAAACAAAGTATATGACAATATCTTTAGTTACTAACGCTAACTCTAATCCGATACTTAGTCACACTTTTAGAATTCAATATCTTACTTTTTCTGGCTTTATTATTATTTTCCACGACGGATAGTGCTATATTCTTATTCTACATGCATTGCTCCAGGTATAAAAAGATTGTACTCCTTCCATTTTGTTCAAAAACATTTTAGGAAATATTACTAACACATTAATTCATTAATATTCCTAAAACATAAGCATCGTGATGTAAGAAAAGCTCACCTGTGGCAGAATAGGTATAACTGCTGAAGACATTTAATTAAATCTCCGCAGGAACGAATTGCTTATATAGGCGTTTTGTGAATTTTTCTTTGTCGTTTATCCTGAATTAGAGCTCGTTTTCGTTAGACTATATTATGCAAACACATCAGTATTGTAAGCGTATACCTATTTCCCGCCTTGTCCTCCCCCCCCATACATTAAAAAAGAAGTAAAGGTGTTGGAAGAGTTATTGCCGTTACATTGACCTGGTTTCCTCAGAGCAACTCTATATCTGAAGACCTTGCAATCACGCATCACGCGAGAATTAGTATTTTTGCTAGTTCTCGCTTCGAAATAATGCCATATTATGCTAGCAAAAGTTATTCAATTGCTATCTGTTCTACTCAGGATGCGGCTATTGCCCAAGCGCCTAGAATAACATAACGGTATAGTTTAAAAATGTGTTATAGCTTATTGTATAAGTATTTGTGTCTTTAAAAGAGATTTTTAAGCCATTGTATTCTGTTACATTACCTCCCACCCTTTTTTAGAATTAGTCATCAAAGGTGTTTCATTGAAGCTGTGCAAAAAAGATTTATTGATATTTACTCTGAACAAGCAAAAGACAATAGTGTTTTGAAGACATTTTTGGTACTTACATATTAGCACAACCACCTTCGCTGTCTTCTTTACAGATAAAAGGTAAAAATTGCTTATCATGTGCAAGTTCACAATTTTCTTGGCAATTTTAAAAAACAATCCCAAACTATCGATAGTTATCATAAGTTGGCAGATGCTATCAACATATCAAAATAAATAAAAATACAGCAAAATTTGAAATACAAATTTTAATTGTTGAGTAACAAATGTATGGGCATATTACAAAATTAAAATTTTTTCTCAAAATCCTTCTGTTTTTTTTAGCACTGTTCCTCTCTCCATGCATACACCGATCTCTTTTCTCTACATCAAAGGATTTCACAAACTTAGAATTTGCACTGGCTATCTACTAAACTCATATCATCGCTGTTCCCTTTATTGATTTTTGAGAAAAATATTATATTCCTGCAGAACATTTACTGCAGTTTTTTTTCTATTACTGGCAAATTATGCAAGCAATAATTTAAGATTGAGTTAAAGGCAAAAAATATCACAATTTGTCTATAAAAAATGTTGTAACTTGGAATGCAACAAAAAGATTATATACAAAAATGGCAATGTTGCTTGACTGAAGGGTTGTTATGAGCATGGTTAGTTGAGGAATGTTTATGTGTATGGTTGCCAGAGTTTGGCAAATTTTGAAAAACTGCCATATTCTACTAAGGTGGTTGTGATAATATGCAAGTACCAAAATTTTTTTAACAAAGGTTTGGATACTATGTAACAGATTACACTGGTATGGTCTGTTGTATACGTGTGTCCTTGTATATATGATATGCTGAGTTATTTATAAATGGTCTGTTTTAAAGTAAAACCAAAAATATGATACTTTATTTTAATATTTTGAGTATTGAAAGCCATTGTAAAGATGTTAAATATGTAAAAATCCAACTCGCATTTTTTTTAGTGTGTGTGTCTGTACATGTGCATATTTGTATGAAATTTGCATTTCCTTTTTTTAGAGTGTTGGTTTTAAATATTATTTTTATTTATATGTAATTTATCTTTTAGGCTGGTTCAAGAATTATCATTATGCCTGGTATGTATAATTTTGATTAAATTACGTATATATTGTAATCGCTTTTTAAATAGAGGGTGAGTTATAATTGCCTTCAGGGTTCTGTAATGAACCCATTAAACTGTCACCAAAAAGTGATAAGTTAATATAACTAAAGGTGTAATGAAAAAATGAAAATTTGAGTAATTTTAAAGATTTTTTTTTACAAGTTCTTGATGTGTTCAGTTTTTGTAGCATACTTAATATGGTCAAAAGTCGTTAATTTGGACACCCATAATCCGGAGTGATCTATAACCCGGACCTCAAAGCTAAAAACTTTCTGCACAGGCGCTGCGCATATGTGTAAGACCTTTTACGACTGCACATATGCGTGTGCGCAAGTGCAGAATACGTTTTCGCGTGCGCATTTTATGTATTACGGACGGTATAAGCTAAAATTATCTAATTATCTATTTCAATTAATGTTGATGATTGTGTTGTTTCTTAATCTTCGAATTGGATCCAGCTTATTATTTTTTACAGACCGTAAGAGCAATACTGTAAAAGTAAACTTGAACTTTCGATTATGTCAAATAGAATTTCCGATTCTGGAGCTCCAAAAGGATCGTACAAAACGAAAGTATGTTTCGATGTCCATCAAACAAAAAGTGGAATTGCTGCAAAAAATGGATAAAGACATGAAGAATGTGACAGAGAGGTTAGTGAAAATGAAAAAATTTCGATTGACAAGTTAGTCGGTATTCTCGGCACAGCAATTAACGGGACTTGAACAGCGGAACTTTGTAACTGAACAAGAAATTATGTCTGTTTATAGATTAAAGAAAGTATTATCACATAAACAAGCAACTTAAACAACTTACATTGAAAGAAATGTTTAATAAAGTAAACAAATAAATATTAAGCTTTTTTTTTTTTTTGGTAAATTTTGATACCCTTTAGATCATAATTGTTCTTTATTTCATAAATTACGGTTTCATATTTTTCTCGACGAGTCCGGATTAACGACTTTTGACTGTATATATATTATTCCTGTTTGATCCATATTAACTGTAGTGTTGCATGATTGGTATGAGTGACAGCTGATAATGCATTTTTCTGAGTGCAGCTGTGATAATGCATTTTTAATGCAGCTTCAGTAGAATAATTTACGTGGCACAAAATCTGTTGGGTAAGATGATCATGCAGAATGAATTTGATAAATGACAGTTGCATACCCAATCCATTTATTGAGAAATTTTTTACCGAGATAAACATCAGTCATTTTCTTTGAAAGTAAGATAGAATTCTATCTATTTGTTCAGATATTTTAATAAAACTGAAACAGTGCCCTGCTATGGCCGTCATACAGGTGATTTGATAAAACATTTTGCACGAGAGATTGTCTATCGGAAATTCTAAAGCTATGCTGTTTTTAAATACTTTTAGCACAATGAGGTATTAGCCCAAATGCTTTCGAAATGTGTATATGTCTGTAAAATGAAAAAAAAAAATGCCCTTTTGGGCATAATATAAATTTTGAAAGCTTTCAGATTTTTTAGCCCATGGGGCATTAGTCCAGAAAAGCTATTAATTTCATTTCGGCATTTTGCGTTGAAAACTTTAAATGTCCAGTTTACTTTACAGATTGTTAACACCAAATATTAGAAGTTTAATGAAATTAAATAATAAAGTATCTGCACAAATGTGTGTATATTTCTCGCATTGTGATAAAACAACAGTACTTCAAATTTTGAATATTGAGCATTTCCACCCGAATATAGGCATCTGGAAGCCCGAATTTCGAATTTGTTTTATTATCTATTTCACATTTTGTAAAGCATTAACAAATTTTTGTTAACAAACTCAATGATTTCAAAGCAAGCAATGCCGACACTTTGCAGAAAAAACATTATCTCCATAGCTGTGTATTGGAAATTCTAAAGCTACGCTCATTTTAAAATTATTTTGCGATATTGCTGTTGAACTGAAGTTTATGGTTTAAGTGCAAAAAATGTGGTACTTAATAAGTAAAGGTAACACATGAAAGGTTAAAAAAAAATGCCGCTGTGGGCGTAATGTAAAATCTGAAAGCTTTCAGATTTTTTTATTATTATTATTATTTATTTTTTGATATATTCACTATCTACAGCAGAGGTGGCCAAACTTTTGGGATCTGTGGTCTACTTCACATTTAAAAAATCGAAGGCGGTCTACCAATGGCAGAGCAAAATTAATGTAATTTATTTTCGGTAACAATAAAAAATGGTAAATTATCTAATTTTTCTAAAAAAACTTAATATTTAGAAAATAAAAATTTACTGACGAAAATAATCAAAATATTCATATATCAAAAATTGAACCATCCTATTCACTTCGTTTAGTTGAAATTTGGCACTCTATATCTGTGACAAGTTTATCATATTGTGTGGCTGGTATGAGCTTATTGCAATGCGTAAACACGAAATTAAATGTCATCTGTTAAACGCGACCGATGTTTGGTTTTTATGGCGTTCATGGTTGAAAAAGCAGATTCACAAAGATACGTCGATCCAAAGTAGGATTTCATATACAAAATCAATTTGTAAATATTTGGAAACGTTTCCTCAGAAATTAATTTCCAAAAATCAGTATCGCTAGATGCTCTGGATTTAAGAAATATATCGCATTTAATTTGATACTTTCTACCTTGACCGTGATTGATGTGGTATCTATTAAATGTCCTATTTTTTAGGATACTCCATCAATGTTGATATTTTCATTAAATGGAAATATCTTAAAATTGAGTGTTTCTTCAAACCTAATTAAGTCAGTGAATCTTCTTTCAAATTCTTCAAACAAAACAACTAAATGTTCGGCGAAATCTTCGAAGTCTCGGTTTGGATTATGGATGCACTCTTCCTCCATTTTTTTAAAGTTTCTCAATTCATGTTTTCTTAATTGAGACGAATACCTTTTTATCATTTCTTTGAAAGTTTTAATCACGCTCATCATGTCTGTTAAACATTTATTCTTTCCTTGTAGATTTAGGTTTAAGTCAAGTTTTGCAGTGATATCTCAGAGAAAAGCTAGTTTCATCAGCCATTTCTCATCTTCCAATTCAGTAATGTGCTCTCCTTTCATTTGTAGAAAATTTTTTATTTCTGGTAACAGAATATGAAACCTTTTTTTAAAAAGTACCACGGCTTAGCCACCTCATGTCTGTGTGCAATAAGAGATCTCTGTACTCTGATTCAGTTTCTTCCAAAAGCGCCCGAAATTGTCGTCTCTAAAGACTTCTTGAACGAATTGAATTGACGATTTTGAAAGCAATTTGCATTATATCATTAGACTTTAGTATTTTTGAACATAATACCTGTTGATGGATAATGCAATGATAGCTGGTAAAACTGGGAATTGCCTCATCATTATTGCACAAGGCAATAAAACCACTGTTTTCTTAAATCAGTATTGTTTAAACCACTGTTTTCTTAAATCCAGAGCATCTAGCAATTCGATTCCCGAACATTGCTGGAGCTCCATCTGTTGTAATAGAGACCAATTTATATGTTGGAAATCTTGTCTTATCAATAAAAGTTTTTAAATGAACTGTAGATATCTTGGCCTCTTGTTTGTCCTTTCAATGGAATTATAGTTAAGAACTCTTCCTTTGAAGTCATGTCTTCGAAAACCATTCTCACAAAAATGCATAACTGTGCAATGTCACTTATATCCGTGGATTCATCAAATTGAAGTGATAGAAACTTACAAGCTTTTAAATCGTCATTTAATAAATCCTCCAAATTATTATTAATACCTTCAGTCTGTCACATCACAGTGTTATGCGACAAAGAAATATTATTTTTTGACGATATTATTTCAGATTTGTTTTTAAAATTGGGGAAAAGCACTTCTCCTGCTTTACAGAAAGCTTCTTTTATCAATTCTCCAACTTCGAATGTTTTTTTTTTTTTCGCTTTATCAAAACTTCTGTAATTTTAAACGACGCCAATGTTACTGCATTAGCTTTGGTGCCTGGTCTCTTAAATAACGTTTGCTGTAAATGTAAATTTAACTTTTAATTCATGCACTTTAACTTTTCGAAGTTCACTGCCAATTGGAAAGTCTGTAGCATATTCTAAGTGCATGGCTTTAAAATGTCTTTCGACGTTTGCTTTTTTTGGTAGTGCTACACTTGAGTTACATATGAGACAAACACATTTCTCCTTCACCATAACAAAAAAGAAATCATCTTCCCACTCATTGTGTTAATGGTATGTTTTACTTCTCTTAACACTAGTACCTGGCTGAGTCATTTTGGACGAGTTGTTGAAACACAACAAATTATCGTATTAGTGCGGTAGGAAGTGAGCGACCTGCAACGTAAGACGATTAACTGAGAACTGAAACTAAACAGGTGGGTGTGACGGGTAGACTAGTCGACTCGCCGTGCCGCTATTATCGCGCCACCTACTGGATATAATCTAAGCATCCCAATTTGTCAAGTTGTTTCTATTTAATTCTCCACTGTAAAACGGCAAATTCATTGTATTACTTTGCACAGTATGTTTTAGGTTTTAAAGCATAAACTATAGTAAATTTTTATTTTAAATAATTCATTAATTCTATGTCATAAGTCATAAATTAAATTATTAATATCCAAGGTCATTATCGGGATGGTCGCGCAGACTACCTAAAATGTCTTCGAGGCCATCCCTGATCTACAGGCTCATGTATGAGCTATATCATTTCCTCAGACAGACCAGTGGCTCAATATAGGACTCAGGCAGACCAATATCTTAAAGGCATAGATCTTTTATAATATCGCAGTGAAGCCCATAGAACTGCATTTGTGTTAAGTAGTGGTTTATAAAAAGCTGACTCATTTTTGTGTTCAGACTTTATTGTTTAAATGATATTAAAATTGTTATTTAATACTTAAATTGCTGAAATAATATTAAAATCATGTTTTTTTAAAGTAACTCCGAATTCATATATTGGAATTAGTTTTGAGTTTTACTATGTAAAAATATGCTATCATTCTGAGACAGGTTGGTAGACCCTTTTAGAAATCTGTAGTGAACATATTAAAATGTCAATTGGCAAATCATTTTTCATCCTGACGCACAGCCAAACATTAAAAAAAAAATTAAGGTAGTTTCTTACTTATCTTTTTCACTTTCATGTTAATATCCGGACTTTTATGTTAAAACATATCTATATATAGTTTTATCTCAATGTATAGTATTTAAACCGTTTTGAAGTATAATATTTAAACTTTCTCAGAACGTATTTTCATTACATCATACTCATAAATGGGAAGTCTTCTGATATGTAAATATTTATTTTTCCTTTTTCTCTTTATTATTTTTATTTTTGTAAATTTAGGATTGTGTTGTATGTGAATGAGGCCACCTTTATCTTAGTACTATGTATGCACAAATATTTGATTGTTTTTAAATAGACCTTATAAGGGATATTAAATGATCTTATTTCTTATATCAAGTAGATAATTCTCATAATACTTTTTTGAAATAAATATATCAAGTTCGGATCCTTTAATGAGTTCTATTGTAAATATTGAAGTACTGTAATTTATAAATTAATTAATATATTTGATCTTTTCACTGTTATTTCATTTCATTTTTTAGGTGCTGGAATAACACTTACTAATCTACCAGCTATTGCCGAAAGTACAAAAGCTAAAGAATTTCACTCATCGGCAAGACTTCTTGTTCCTTCCTCTCATCCACCTGAAGCAGCTGTTGTTGAAGGTACTGGGCATAAATCAGTTACTTCATCTAGTGTGGTACGAAATATGGTGACAATTTTAAAACAAATGGATGCTGTTGACACTGCAAATCTTCTTCTTCCTTATATAACTGGTGCGAAACAGAATGCTGAGAAAGTAACTTCATGAGAGTCAAAAAAATTTGCTTTGTATATAAGAGTATTTAATATATTTTGATATTATTATTTAAGTGTTTATAAAATAGACTTCAATTAAACAGTGAAGATAATATTTATTGATGTATATAATATTCTCTTATGCATCATTATCATAGTTTAATTCATTCTCACTAGTTTCATTATTACCATGCGAACTGCTGATGATGTACAATAGACTCTTTCTTAACTGACCTAAATGGAGCAGGGGTTAAGCTGGTTGAGCAAAATTCTAGTTAAAGCAGATAATTAAAAAAATTATTTACTTGATGAAAGTGCATGTTTTTAAAGTCAGCATTTTTTTTAATGTGGCAATGTATTACAAAAGTTTTACTTACCATTAGTAAGAATGTTTAAAAAATTCAATCTTTTTTTTTTTTTTTTTTTTTTTTTTTTTTCTGCTGAAGGCTGGAAATTTGGGGATTTGCTGAATAATTTTGCCATTTTTTTTAAAAGCATCACATTAATGAAAGCTGATGTGTTTTGTTCCACATACAATAAAGCCATTTATAATTCTTTTGCTGCATCTGTATGTGATATGGCAGAAGTCGCACTGTCATCGATGTCGGAGCAGCATAAGTGACAGCTCAAAATTTTTTGCTCAAGATTCCTGTCAGTGATCAACCACCACTCATCTTTTTCAACATCAGTGTCTTGGCATCCACTAAGACATTTGAATAATGACACAAAAGTTGTTAGTAGAAAAGTCTTGTCTCTTCAACTGTAGTGACTGCCTTCTGTATTTCTTTGATCCAATGACCTAAGTTTCTGCCAAGATTTTATCATTGTAGATTCGACGACCTCTGACCTTGATTCAGCTATCATATAAATAGCTTTTTTTAAAGTTCATTTATTTTTTATTTCATATTTAAATTACATTATTATGGAATTTTCAATTTTTTGCCTATTTTTTGATTTTCATACTTAAATTAATTTTGGTCACTTAAAAAGAAGATCTGGTTGAACAGGAGCTGGTTAAGAGAGAGTTTTGCATTCTGAGGGATTCATGTCTGTTTTTCTGAATGAGTGATCTGATGGAAAATAATATAAACCTGGAAATCGTGGGGATGTGTAGACATGCTAATAAATTGATCAACTCTAAAAGAATTATGCAATATTATTATCTTTTTATAAGAAAATATTTTTATTTCAAATTAAATACATCGATTTCTATTACTCCTTTTAAAAACATCATTTATGACAAATTTTGTTATGTCTGTGGCTAAAAGAGTATGTGTGAAAATAAAAACACATATTTTTGCTTAAGTGTATGAGTGGCTATTAACCTTGAACAAAGCTCAGATCACATAAATTTAAGAGTGTTAGAGAAAAAAAAAAAAAACCAGATGTTTCTTTGCATATCACCTATTTTTATCTTGTGTACTACCGATTGAGAATCATTGCACTAAACAATAAATACAACCAATAAATGAAAATATCAGAAAAATTACATTATTTTATCTGCAAACATATTTTAAAATGAATCAAAGTTATAGAAATTCCATTAAAAAAGAAATACGGTAACCACCACTTATTATACTCACTGATTAATAAATTATTATTGCATTCAGATTCCAGAAACCACTACTATTACATGCTAATCAATAGAAAAACTGCCATTTATTAAACTCATCTGCACAGCTTATAAAACTCAAATTGGCAATCAGAATATCCTATATATAGCTATCATAGCTATTTAATTGCTACAAGTCTACAAGTAGCTGATCAATTTAACTCATGGTAGACTGTGGCTTATTTATTGTTCAGCTATGTGATTCTTCAATAAAATGGTGTTAACTGAGATTTTTCTATCCCTCTTCGGTCTCTGATTTTTGAGATACAGTTTTCTGAGCTCTTTGTTCACACTAGAATGCAGAGAGGCTATCTTAAGGTAAACAAAACCAGTCTCCTAGAGCAGGGGATGTCATTGTTTTGGGGGGGATTACAGTCAGACTTTTATTTAGTTTTAGTTTATGAATTTAAAAAAATGAATTTTGTTCTAGTTTTGGTATGTACTCATATCAACATTTTCTATACTTGTTGTTGCTTAATTTATTAAGTACATTAAAAAAGAATCTAAATCTAAGTAAATGTACATGTATTTTTTGAGTTTTATAAAGGAAGGGGGCATGATCTTCTAGTAATGATGAAAGGGTGCATGGAGCAAAATAGGTTGGGAACTGTAAGAGCTAGTTGCTCTGGAAGCAGTGTAAATGAGTGAGTATTTCTGAATACCACCTGACAGGTAGTATAAAGGCAATTTCTGCATCCCATCTTATAAAAATTTACATATTTTTGCATACTGAGTCATACATCTTGCACATTTTCACATACTGAATGATTATGTAAACTATTTGTAGATGATGTGTTACAAAGCATAATTAGATTTTAATGTTTCTTGTGTGCATTTTTCATTTTCTGTTGTATTTAAATTCGTTTCAAGAAAAGAATGCATGTTGTTTATACAAAAATAAAATAATTTATGGACATCACTATATACAAATATTTGGACACATAACATAATCACTGTTTAGTGTTTGCACATATTTTCCATATCACAAGTCCCTTTTGTTCTTGGAATCACTCGGTGATCACAGATCTCTACTTCAGTATTCAGATGAGAAAAATTCGGAATGGTTGATATTTAGCATTCTGTACAATGGAATTTTAATAATATGTACAATTCTGAAAATATTGCACTTATGCAGTACACTTGTCATCGCAAGTGATGCACTTCCCTTTCTCCACCTGTTGTGATTGAAACTACTGGCTGATACTTTTCACCTGCATTCAGAAGGAAAGGGAAATACTACTGCTTCATTAATACTGTTTCCAGGTGGGATGATGGCAGTTCGTTTTGGCAGTTGTTGTATTTCTAGACTCCTGTATCTTTCATAGCACCAACATTTGAGTAGATTGCCTCTAAAATCAGAATTTCACATCAAATATTTATAAATAATCTCTAACATTTTAAAATTTAGTGCACAGAAAAGATCTTTAAAATTACAAAATATGAATATACAGTAATTTTATTGTGAATTATTTCAAACCCGTTTGCCTCAGAAGACTCTATCGTGAAACTTGAACATTTTCAACTTGAAATAAATGTGTTTCGTATGTCAATATCTGATAATTTTCTTCCCAAATCTCAGTTTTTCGAATTACTGATTAAAAACTCAGTGATGCAACTATATTTTTCAATTGTGTAAATTCTAGTAAGAAACAAGCCTTGCAATAGCAACACATCACATTCATGTCAGAAAAAGATAAGATGATGTTTTTTGGAAATGCCAAAGAGGGCCTAGGTTACCTATAGGCCTTTTTCGGAAGTAGGAACTCGGACAGTGGGGCTGGCTAAGAGGGTACTAATCAGCTTCAGCTTTCTTTTTGTGGAAATGGTTTTAATTAGCTTAAAGTTAAGGGAATCAAATGCACGAAAAATCATACTTTTTTTACGACTGTTTTACATGAATTTGAGTTTTTTCCCCCAATATAAATAGTTGAAAGAAATTTGAAAATTTACTTTGGACCTCTTTAAATACAACATTGCAATCCAGTGAGTTTTGGGATTCACATTCTACATCGGAAGGGGAAAAAAAGTGCTTTCTAATTTTTCTCATTCTTGCTTTGGTAGCAATGATGTCGTCAACTAAGAATACCATACCAGTAGCATTGTTTGATTATGACGTTTGTATTAGCTCATCGAAGATGCAGTACACATAACACAAACATATACTGAAAGTATCGCATTTAAACTTTTTTGTTGTTGTTTTGTTTATGTTTTATATTCTACAATCCAACGGAACTATATTATCAATTGAATTAACAAAACTAAGTAATTTATGTGTATATATAATGTCGTTCAAAACATATAGCCTTTTTAAACGCATTCAGTTTAACACACACCTTTTTTTCCTTTGAGCAGTGCTATATTAGCTAAATTTATTTTATAAAATGTGCATCATTAACACAAAACTAATTTGCCTTGATTTTATTTTTGGCAGATTTTACTGCATTTTTCAGAATGATGTTCTTCAAAGTAAATTATCATCAGAAATAAAATTAATACTAATTCATTTAAAAATCATGAAATAGAATGGACAGAATTTTAAGTATTTCATTGTTGCCATTTCTTTATTTAGGAATATTTAATAATAATTTTAGTTAAAAATGTATATTAACAGAAAATATATTTACCCTCATATTCATCTTCATCTGCTGTAGCTCTTTCCCGAATTAGCTGATTTACACATAAATGAATGTAGATGTATTGGTCCTGAAAATAAATTTACTGAATTAGATTTTGACACACTATTTTGAAGGTATTACATTATCTTAACAGTTATTTTCCTTGACTGGGCATTCAATACCTGGTTTATATACACGGTGCATTTGAAAATAGTTGAAAAAACAGTCTACTAGATTTATACCATTTCCACTTATACATGAGACGAGCCATTAGTAACTCATATTTGGATATTTGTTATGTAAATAATCATCTATGCTCTAAACAAGCCTAGATCATTTTTTGAAAGATTTAAAAATACTCTGCTTGAAACTTAACAGATACTATTCCTGATATTGGTATAATTGCTTTCTGCTTTCACATTAAATAAATTTATTCAGTCTTTTAAGAAATTTTTGCATTTGGAATAGTTACAGAATGCAATGTTTATTACCAAAATCTGCTTTTGTTTTACATCATAAAATAAATTTTGAGTAATTGGTATGCAATGGACTGTAATTAACCTTTAACAACTTTATTTGTTGTTTGACTTCTGAATTAGTATCTTTATTTTCATTAGCTTTGCAAAATTCATGACCACTCGCAGCCATGAATTCTCTCAAATTCTTAGTACATACATTCTCACATGACAACATATCCAAGAGCTCTTGACTTGTGCGAAGATGCAAGTACTGAGATGCGCATGCAGACGGAATAGTAATTAAAGGCTGTAATTAAGTTATCAGTAATCTGAGCAGCAGTAAAGAGTTTTCAATTGTAATATGAATACAATAGATTTCCAGAAATCCGCATAACTTGGGACCAGAGGTTGTGTCGATTTTAGGATTTTGCAGATTTCAGGACAGAAAAGATAAATCATAATATTCAGACTAAAAGTGCAAAATAAATAAGGCATATTAGATACATTTAATTAAATTATTATATACGTTATTGCAATAACTTATTATATGCATTAAATTATTATTACATATATAAATTGATTATATTATTCATTGTATTATATATACACAGCATCGAGATTTGCCGATTTCGCCTCATGCAAAGATTTCCGGTGTTAGAATCACTGCTGCTGTAAAATTTCAACAGCTTTTCTTTATTTTTCCATATATCATACACAATCATATCGCCATTCCATACGATTCTGCTATAAACCAAGAATGTCTCCATCTTTTGCAGAATTTGCACTTTTTGCATTACCGTCAATGCAACATGTTTACGTTTTTCAACGTTACAAACAGTAAAATCATGAGTGTGTTTCCAATCTGTAATTGTATTACAAAGGGCTGAAATTTAAACTATTCTTAATTTATCCACAAAATATCCAGATTAAAAAAAAGGCAGCACTAAATAATCTTGTAAAATTACAAAGCTCAGAAAATACAACAATGTGAATCCTGGACCTGAAAGAAGAGTTGAGTGAATCATCTGCTTTCTTACCTCGATGCAGATTAGAAGAGAAAAAACTTTTATCATGATGTCAATAATTTGGTATTTCCATTATGACTCGTTATTATTCGGTAAGTATTTTTTCTTCGATATTTCGTACTCAATGTTGCAGTTTCCGGAACCTATAAACTGAATGTTTATATTTTGAGAGGCAATGTGGATTTCAGGTCAGCGGATTTTCGGTATTTGACTGTATTAATGAACTTCTTATTTTGTGATATTTATAGATATTTTTGGAAATAATGCTAATGATTTTCAATATTAATAAATAAATCAAATTTCTTAAAAAATAACAAGTGCATAAAATGCAACATAAAATATCTTCATTTTTATTTTCAAAGGGAAGAGTGTTTTCATGGAATACATTCTAAGGGAAATTAACCTATATTCATGTTACATAATGGGTAAACCAACCATATGGCCAACCTGCTTGACTGGAGTCGAGCTGGGGTTAAATTGCCTGTAAACTGTGGTCTTAACCACTCGGCCACTGCCAGAACCTATTTTTGTTGGGAAAATTTATTGTCAAATTCATTGCTATAAACTTTCCAGTGGCATCTGATGACCAAAATAGAAATTATTATTTTTTATCCTGGAAAGTGCATAAAGTCACATAAAATTTCAGTTAGAATTGTCATAAACTGTCAGTAATATTTACCGTCAGGATTTTTAAATTAACGCTTTACCGACCACTAATGGTTCAACAGCATACACGCGTCTGACCGGCTGCTCAGCCGCAGATTCTTCATGTTCTAAATAACTGTCAGGACAATCTGATAAATCGTCTAAATAAAACTCTCCAGTACTATTTTTTTCATTCAGCGTAAACGGTAATTTTTTTTTAAAACATTGTGAAAATGTGGGAGTGACGCAAACAAAGCAACGCGCTTAACGCAAGGGAGCAATGTACCTCAATACTAATAATAAAATGCAGATGATATAGCAAATGGCAATTGTTAATCGCCATGCCTACCGATTGATAGGCTATTTTTAGGTAGCCCCGAGAAAAAAGTGATTAATAGGCTATCGGTCGATAGGCATTGGTGAAAAAAAGCCGATTAATAGGCTATCGATCAGCAGGCATTGCCTAAAAAAAGCCGATTAATAGGCGATCGGTCGGTAGACGTTGGTGATGAAAAGCCGATTAATTGGCTATTGGTCAGTAGGCTTTGGCGATAAAAAGCCAATTAATAGGCTACCGATCGGTAATGTGTTAAAAGGCCTTATTATTTGCAAAGTAATATAAAATTTTTTATATTCTTATCTTTAGAAGGATTCAAATAATACAAATTTTGCAGCATACACTGTGTCTCATTCCTTATACTACATGCAGGGAAAATAACATAATTTGATGAGATTTAAATACACATTATGCCAATGTTCCTTTAAATCTTTCTTACAGTGATCTGGAGCTGATTTGCACTTAATTAAAAAAAGTTCAAGGGGGATTAAATATATGCAATATATTATGTATGTTCCGTTTGTAGATGGCCTGAGGTTGTCTATGCATTAAAACATTGATTGTGCATTAAATTCTGATGACCAACCATAGGCCGAAAAGTCGCTGAACACTGGTAGTTCGGTCCGGGGCTTGAATTCCGCGGACAGGCTGGCTGCATGGGCATTTTAGTGATTTTCCACATGTGTAAAAGTGTATACAAGCCAGTTTCCTGTAGAAAGCCCCCTTCAAAGGCATTCCTCACCTCAGGCAGATAGCCCTTGAGTGCTTTGCCGTGATCAAATAAACCAAACCATATGTGATTTAATGTTATTAAATTACACATGCAGTTCTTCGAAAGTGAGTATATGGTCATATATTTATGCACTTTAGATATAGCATGTCACATTATTCTACATATTTGTGAAACATTCAAAACAATGTTTTTGTTTTTGTGCTTATATCATTTTTTTTAAATGTAAAGATTTTCGAAAGCTAGCTTACCTCTGTTTGTACCATGTTAGTTCGATACTGCCTCAAATCTAACACTGTCCCATACACATCGATAACATCACTGCGCATTAGCTGTTGAGAGAGTCTATCAACAGCGATGAATGTACCTGTTCTCCCAACACCGGCACTGAATAAAAAATAATAAAAGTCAGAAACCTTAAATTAATATTTATTATAAAACATTTAACCATTAACTATTTTATATATGCATTTTTTGAAATCTAAGTAACATTATTAAATTAAGGAATTGCTATAAATAAATATATTTTATGGTAAAATATTGATAGCAAATTCTTAAAACTGTTTCATCTTTTCAAAAGAATGGCTATTTCCTCAATGTATAAATGGAGAATAATGCTCTCTATGTAAAATAATTGTGGTGATTTTTATATACAGCACTCTTTTCCTGTTCGTTAAAACTATGAGTCTTGTTATAGTTATACAGTTTCCATTATAGCAAATCCACGTTTCAAGCCATAGATATTTGTTTCCTTTTAACTGTAATCATGTTTAACTTTTTACTGGCATAACTTGGAAAAAAAGAAAAAAATGAAAATTTACTGCTAATTGATTAAAACAGAATATTATTTGCAAAGTGGAAGCAGTAGTTTGCAGAGCCATAACAAGGGTTTTCAGCGCTGAGGATTTCCCACCCCTTCCTGTTTGTCAAAATGCAATGAGAAACATCGATTTGGTGCCCCCTGGATGCTGCTTTCAGAGACACATGTCCTCCTTTGCTACACCAGTTTGCTTGGAAAATTAAATAAATCTGAAATCATTCAACCATTTATTTTTTTGATATATTTTCTTCTTATCAGTATTATAATATAATGTTAATAAAACTCGTATAGAATAGTGAAGGATAATAGATGAAATTCTGACTAAAGTTCAGATTTAAATTTGATAAATACTTTTATCACATTACATTTATTTTTAAAAGGGTGTATATGCTTCTCATTTTATTTAGCAGATATCGTATCAATATATATTCATTTTAGAACTTGGGGAAAATGTTATTGAAAACAAATGTGAGGGGGGGAGCAGAAATTTGCAGGCCTGTCTCTGTATGTACGGCCTCCATTTTGACATCTGAAATAAATTAAACTAAATACTTACAATAGGAGTTTAAAATGTTTTTGCTTTAACAATTAGACCCTAAGAAATTAGATATAGAACATAAAATTTTGTGATTAAAATAAGAAGCATTTTTTCTATCATTTGAGATAGAAAAAATCTTATATGGATACCACGTAACTTCCTTGTACAGCCTATTATATTATACACACTTTTTTGCTGCACTTCATTTAAACTTCTTCTTTTTGGGGGGGGGTGGAATTGTTCAAACTTATATAATTAACAGATCCCTCAAGGCAAGTTGTAAATGACATAAAAAATTTCAAATTTTGAAAGTAAATATCCCGGTCAGTCTTTATCGTATGGGAGTCAAACTTCTTACAATTTCATTTTTTCATAACAAATATAAAATTTTCCCAAATATAACTATGGGGACCGGAGACCTCTTTAAACTTTAGATTTTGTTATTTGTCCAAAATTAATTTTTATTTTAATTTGACACTGCTTAAACATGAATACTTTTTCCTTTAAAACTCTTCTGAAATTGGAAGAATATGACTACAACCAGTGATAGCAAAAATAAAGGTCATGTGATATATATATATAAATTTCTTCATCTGTGTGATAAAGAATTACTTTTGACAAGTTTGGAATTTGCTAACAATATATATACTGAATATCTTTGTTTAAAAGAACTGTTACCCTTATTATGTAACATTTTGCAAGCAATGAGAATTAAATGGTGTTAATTATAACTTATTAAAAAATTAGAAAGCTGTTTTTGTATCCGATTCTTTTCCATTTTAATATTTTAAATTATAACATTGTGACGTATCATAGACTGCAGTTAGAATAGTTATAGTTTGCTGAAATTATTGCAAAAATGATATGCTATATCAAACTTCGTAACTATTTGAAAAAGCATACTGGTAAAGTTGATTTGATAAAATTAACTTTGGTTGGAAGATCGATTAATTTTCAGCTAATCTGTTCATATTGATATAGTTTGCTTCAATAAAACCAGCTGAATACACAAAGAAGAAAAGAAAACCCATGCTTTATTCCTAGAATAGTCATCCTTACCTACAGTGAACGAGTATGGGTCCAGGTCGGACTCTTGGAAGGTGATCACGCACTGCCCTAACGAAATTAATGAGGTCATCTGGGCTTTCTGGACAACCGAAATCCGGCCAGCGCGTGAAGTGCATCTGTTTCACTCGCAGCTCTCGAGGACCCTGAAGAAATAAAACATGAAATTAGAAATTCATTAAAGTTTCATATCACATGTTAATTGCTTGCACAAGTGTGTACTAAGTATAGTTTAAATTTTTTTATTCCATTACCAGTAGATCACAACAAATAATGAAGGTATCTAAAAAGACCATGTGATTCTCAGTCAGTTCAAGTTGTCAAAAGATATTTCATCTCAATGCATATTATTTTGGTGACTTGTAACAGTTTTACTGGTTTTTGCCCGATAAAGGAAGCTACAGGATTAAGAACCTAGTTGGCTTTTAAGCTGATAAAAGATTCTGCTACAGCGGGCATTTAAGATAGTGGTTTAAAAGTCTCTGCCATTTATTATTATTATTTCAATTCTTTGCCATTCGATTTGAATATATGCCTAATGTATGTTATCACTGCAGTTTGTTAAAGGAAGAAAGGCATAAGGTTGATACTTATAAATGCAAAATCAATAAATGAAAATATGTATACAATGATATGTCTGTGGCATATTAGAAATAAAAAATCTGATGTGGAGACCACATAACTTCCTTGTACGGCCTGTTAAATTTTACACATTTTTTGCTGCATTTCATTTAAACTTATTTCCTCAAATTTCAAATATATATTTCTCATTCAATCAATTCAGTTCAGACATCGTGACAAGGCAGAAGTACATAAAAACTCGAAACATCTTCATTAAAAATTGTAAAGTGCAGAAAAAATAAAACACGAAATACAGTTATAGTTAAAAAATTTTTTTTGCAACTGAAATTAGAATTTCTACGCAAAAACGAGCAATTTTGCCAGCAGACAGAAAGACATTTTTTGGTGCACAAAACTGAAAGTTTACTTTTCGTACCACCTGGCAAAAAAAAACACTGAAGTATGTGCAGAAACTGACTTATTTCACTATGAGTTTCAAGTGTTCTTGTTCTACTATGAGTTTCAAATGGCAACTTCGTTAGGCTTAGTAGCACTTAAAAAACTTTTAAATTATTGGTAATTCTACAGCTATTGCATGCAGATTAACTAAAGGCATAAAAACCTTAACTGGAACAGAATAACAACGTAATTCAATCAATTCTATAGCAAAAAATGCACAATTTCGAATAAAATCGAGCCGAGCAATATATATGTATGTTGTTATATAAAATTTTAATTTGAACAAAAACATATAAAAGTAAAAAAGCAAATTTAAAGGCAAAATTTGAAAAAAGAAAGCCAAAAAATTTTTAAAAAATTAAAAAAAAATTTTAAAAAATAAATTTCATTCCAGCAGCAATGGCGCAAAGAATATTTAATTAAATTCAATTTATTCTTATGAAACAATTTTGTTATATAAAAAAAAGTATTTTGAAAAAATAATGTAAGTAGCAAACTATATCAGAAAATCGAAATCAAAGCTTCTGATGTCATAAGTTGACAGCTTAGACCTGATAGAGTTATGTGTTTAGTTACGATGCGCTATCAAGCCATTTACCTTCCATGCGGCCTAGTAAATAATTTCGCAGTGTTGCCACTCGAAGATCTAACGAGAAAAGTAATTTATTTTTCACATTATAACTCTAGCTGCTTAACAAATTGAGAAATTTCGAAGTAAAAAATGCAATTTTTAATAAGTAATAGCTTTATTTATTTTTCAATAACATGGCTAATTCATATGGAATAGTTTATAATAGAACTAGTTGATAATTGTAACGAACATTTGTAACATTATTATCAAAATAATGCATTATGTAACGTTATGTAATATCAACTGTGGTATAGAATAATCGTTTCTACGCCGCACTTCGTTTTCATTAAAGACAAAAAGCGAATAACAAAGAAAGACCATTACCAGCTGCACATGGAACACCCGTATGACGTAACTGGACAGCATGGATTCGGAAAGCGTCCGTACTTGCAAATCGCCGTAGTATTTCATCTCCACCGGTGCTGGCCAATATTGCTCGCACTTACTCTTCCCTCTCTCCACGCACTGAGTAAGCATAACGATGACAGTCACAGATTGCTCCCATACCATCCTCCAGAAATCATCCACAGTATTCGGCAGAGGTCCCTGACTAGCAATATATTCGCGAAGAGAGGAATTACCCTGTAAAAGAAGTGAATATTAGTCCGTTCCTGCTGCAGAATACATCATATATCTTTCCTGTACCAGTCAGAGTAATTCCAGACTATATTGTAGATCATCTTAATTGACAGACATTGCAGGAAAGCGGTGTTTCTCTGATAAAATAAGCAGCTTAAATGAGGTAAAATTAAATGTTAGATATATGTTGGTTTAACAGAAAAGCATTTACTGCAAATTAAAATTGAAATTTGCATAATTTTAAATCTGAAATTGACTTGTTTCTCTTTCATATAAAATTACCGTTCTAATGATGCCCAGAAATATTTCTTTGATGAAATTTTTTATACACGTTTGAGATCATGTAACTCGAGTAGTTAAAAAACATATGCGCAGTTACTGAAAGACGGCAGTAGCAGCATTTAATAAAAATTTATGATAATATTGCCCCTTTTTTATCCAGCACTTTCTTTTTATTTCGATTACATTCCTCTATTACAAGCACAGTTTTCTTACCATGAATGTTTTGATATTAAGTGGTCCACAGCGGCCGTGCAGTAAAGTCGCTGAACTGCGATAGTTCGAACGGGCTGGCTGCATAGGCGTTTTCATGATTTTCTCCATGTACACTCATGTCCATAAATTAAGCATAATGCAAAATCAGGCAAAGGAAGAGTTAGAAGCAAAACAAATTTGACTTATTTGTAAAGCTTATTTATTAAACAAAAGGTTAAGAGCAAAAAAAGATGCTATATGTTTGATATTATTAAAAAAATTAGCGATTTTTTCTCCCTGGAGCAAATTACAAAAAAAAAAAAAAAAAAAAAAAAACTATTTACAAAAAAATCAGTATTACATGGTTGGTTGTTAATACATTGTATGCCTCCCAGACGATGCAATACAGTCCGTACAAAGCCTAGGCATGCTGAGTATCAAATTATCGATCTGATCTTGGGGATATTACACCACTAAAAAGCAATGCTCTCCGAAGTTCGGTAGACATGTAGGGAGGAGGTTGACGGGCTGCAACTCGTCGGCCAAGCATGTCCCACACGTGCTCTACTGGTTTCAAGTCCGGTGAGAATGCTGGCCAGTCCATACGGGCTATATCCTCCGATTGAAGGCATTCGCCTACGATGTTTGCAAGGTGAGGACGGGCGTTGTCAACTATAAACACAAATTGTGCGCCCATGGCGCCCCGAAACAAACGTACATGTTGTTCCAGAATGACGTCCCGATAGATTTGGCTTGTCATGGTTCCAATTTGAACATGCAAGTCAGTTCTGGAACCCAGAATAATTCCACCCCAAACGAGCAGTCCTGCACCACCGGTAACGGTGTCGTTCAATGATGTTTTCTTGGTGGTAACGGGTACCTGGAGCTCTCCGTATGAAAGTCCGGCGAGAATCAGACTGCAAGCTAAACCTGGCTCGTCGGAAAACATCCCAAGCCCACTGTTGCGTGTCCACATGCATGCTCTCTACTCCAGGCTAACCGCAGGCGACAGTGAGTTGCAGTAAGTGGAACGCACTGACAGGTCTACGAGCATATAAGCAACTGCCCTAAGCGTCTGTACACGGTCTGCCTTGAAATTGTCGTACCAGTGGCTGAAGAGAGCTGACGAGACCGGTCTGAGGCTGCGCTCCGCCTGTTTCTTTTGGCAGTAACTGCCAAATAGCGTCCTCATTCGGCGTTGTAACTCTGGGGCGACCTGTGCTGTAATGTCTACTCACATTACCATCATCTTGAAATCGTGCCAAGCCTGGAGATGACACTCTGGGCAATTCCAAGTTCGTGTCTGATACTTCCAGTTTGGGTACGCCCACATTCAGATGGCCGATAATTTCCACGTAAAAAATCACCCCAAATGCGCCCTTTGGTCACAACTATTCGGTTATTGCACTGAAATGCTTGTATAAAGTGCCTGCGAACAATTTTACTTCTTTGCCTGTATTCTTATGTATCCTCTCTTACACTCTCGTCATTGTGACGTACATCGGTGTCATCTGGTTATCCTGAAATTTGCTTATGATTCTGAAGATGCGTTAGTGATTTTACAGGTGATATATTTATTTTAGAGTTCGATTTCCACGTGACTCCGAATTATCCTTTATTTATGGACATGAGTGTATAACGTGTATACGAATCAGTTTCCTTAAGAAAGTCCTTTACGAAGGCATCTCTGTCCTTTGGCAGATAGCCCTCGAGGCTTTGCCGTAATCACATAAACCAGCCAACCAACACTAACATTAAACTGCCCGTTTAAATGAAAAAGAGAGCTATTTATTTATATTATTTATGTCTTAGAGAGCTATTTATTTATATTATTTACATTACAGGTATATATTTTTTCGTATATTTTTAAAAATATGCTTATTATTCACCACTTTAATGGACGCATGTTAGCAAACTACAGGTATTCAGCCTCCTTATTAGTTTCTTGTTGTAATATTAGTTGTTATTAAAAATGCGTTCATATATGGGCCTTAACTAGAAACAGCTTTAGTTTGCAAAAATAAGATCTGATACACTCAATAAAATCTTATGTTTCGATGGGCGTGGTTAGTGCTAATTCGTATCGATATTATTATTTCGAAGAAGTTTATTTATTTTGGTAAAGGATAAATAAAGTATCATAAAATGCTTTACATACGGGTATGTAATTAGCGTTGACAAAATCAGATCCAGGTTCATCGCCTAATGGTAACAATTTCACTCTCGAGTGATCATCTAGAAAAAAAGAAAAATATTAAATGAATAATTTCCTTTTCAATAAAAAAAAATTATCAAAATCTGCAACGAATTAAAAAATGACTCGCCCCAGACTAAATATTTAATACATTTCTTAACTATTTTTATTTGCTTGGGAAACATTCAGTCTTTTTTGCACAGATGCATTTATTGATAAGTATGTTTTATATGCATTTAAACAGCTTTTGAATGCATGAGCCCTTGAACTGATGATTTCTTTCATTTTAACTTTATATAGATCGCAGATTATTGAATTAACGCAATCAATCACTCATCTTGTTGATTATTTTTTTAAGCTAATAAACAAATATGTGCATTCATAACTATAAAAGTGTAAAATCTGGTTGAGTTACTGGAAAATAAAGTTTAAATGGTTGTGAATAATCATAGTTAAGGCTTTAAAACATTCGCGGTTTCACGTACATGCATACGGTTAAGAATTTTATATGTGTGTAAACAATATGTGTGAAGTTATATGTAAAATTATAGTATCTCTTGTGTTTACACAAGTGTTGTGTTACTTGTGTTACACACTATAATATGAACTGCTTGGACAAACGAAGCTCTGCCGGAAAAATAAGATTACAGGGGCGAGTCAATTTAACATTGAGGTAAATGGCTATCTAGCTAAATTCGTGAGATATCGCCAAACTGGCGATGGTTTTTAACAACTGATCTTTACATCCAAATTTGGCGAGAAATCTCCAAAGGTCGCCAAACTTGGCGACGATACAAATTTAATCCTATAATTTTTTTTTTTTTTCTTCGTTTCCTTTGTTGTGTTGTCGTTGGTCTTTTACAATGTTAACAATGCAAATGTTTTACGCCGACAATTTACATCATTATGTGTATCGAACTAACGCCTTTTACGGTTTTTCGATGCGCTGATCAATTTGCTTAGAAAAAAGTGGGTGTAACCACTCGGAAATTTTCAAATTTTCCCCCTGTAACTGTAACCGTGAGAGCTCTGTTGTTCTAAATCATCATAATCTCGAGCACATACCTTCAAATAAGAGCATCTGAAATTTCATTTCGATTGCTTGAGCGGGTAGGCCACTAGGGGTTCATAAATCGGGGAAGTGTTTTCATGACCACCCTGAAGATTAATATTAAAAGCGCTGTAATGCTAGTCTGTATTTTAATATGCCCAAATGTTCCTTAAAGTTCTCAAACAAGCTTCAGATTCATCTTATTTAAAGCATTTGTACGAATTAAATGATAATAAGGAGAAATTTTCATAATTTTTCGCAAACCTTCTGTGAAATATGTTCAATGTGCAATGCTGTTTAAATTACCTTCTTGACATTTAACTTTAACGTTTCCTGAAGGAATGTTTATTGGAATCTCTGCTGTCCAAGAAGAGGATGCAAAATCCTTTGCATTTTACAAATTGTTTTAAACATTTTAAAGCTGCATTTTTCGATTTCTTCATTTATATTTATCATTTATTTAACACACAAGGAAGCCTTTCTAAAAGCTAATGAAGTGAAGAGTGAAATATTAAATACAAGATGAAAAATTAAATGTTAAGTTAACAAATCTCCAACTGATTTCAGTTTGAATTATATAAAAATGCTCTTAACCACCTTCATCCATTCACGATTAAAACTCATAAATTTACATTCTTTCTAAAACTTTCTTTCTTTCTACATTTATTGTAACAATTAATATCCTCGTGGGTACTCTTAGCATATTACACTAAAAATTTTTATTGAGCATGTATAAGCATGTTTTAATAAGCTGCCCCAAATCTGAAAGTATCTGTGATGGATAGCTGCATGTTTAAAACAGCTAAATTATATCAAGCACTGAAGTGGAAACTTTTTCGAAAAAGGAAATTGATCGCAGGTTGTTTAATGTACTTACAGGGATAGATGTTCATCCATCGGTTCTTGCCTCGATTTTCTTCCATCTCTGCCGTTGCACACGGGAACTGTGGACTAGAACGTTTCAAGGCCTGTAAATGAAAAAAGAGGGATGCGTAAATAAATATTTTAACAAGCTTTCATCGAGTTCGATGCAGTGCTCTTATCTTGTCAGCGCATATCGCTTCTGCTATTTGAATTTTAACTAAAAAATTCTGTACAAAATTTCGCTATTATGAGGTACAAGATATTTTTCATCAAAATTCAGATTCTATTTTTACAGTTTATGATAGCAACCTGATGTAGGAGTCCATAGTTATGAGATTTAAAACGAATTTGATATGCAATTGTTTCACACCGCCTCATTCACATTAAGTGTTTTTGTATTACAAGAGTTGCGTATCAATTTAAATACGTAATTTGTAAAATTATGTCTGCTTTTACAATTCATTTTTTCCTTTATCGGAAAAGGATCACGCTTTTTGGATGCATCAAGGTCTCTTTGATAACAGCTGAAATCAAAATTACATTCTGTACCTGTGGAATTGTGTTTAAGCATCGAAAACTTTGGTCAAAATATTTTATATAAAATTAATTATAAATACGCTGCATCTTAAATTTTCATATTTGAACTATAAAAACATAATTTCACAGTCAGAGTAGAAGTAATGAGTGGAATTTCTAAATTAGTTTAAATCTTCTATTTAAGTTCCAGGAACGTCTATTTAAGAATGCTTCTTCTAAGTTCAAGCTGCAGATGATAATTTATTGAAAAAAGTGATATTTCAAGGTAAATTTAGTATTATATGTATATATTTTATCTTAGTAAAGTTATCGAGGAATATAGAGAAATTTTGCCTATTTTCGAAATTAAATTTTTCAGAAAATTACTTCTCAGGTTTTCAGTGTTACGTCTCTAGGATGCTATTTCATGATCTAGGGTTATTTAGTTAATTAATGATTAATCAATAATATTTCATGGTCGATGTTAGTTAATTGATGAAGTACATCAGGGCTATCTGTTGTAGATGGAGATGCCGCCGTGGAGGACATTTTGAAAGAAACTAGTTCATTATCACGTTACACATAAGGAAGACTGCACAGAAGCCCTATACAATCAGTCCGTTTCCCGGAACGAAGCGAGTGCAAACTAATAATGTATAGTGGTTTCAGTTATTTATTTGCATATCAATGAAGATATTCTAATTATTTATTTAACTCTTTTACAGTTTTTACGTTGAAAATAAATTTTACATTATTTTTAAAGTTCCCATGTAAAAGTTTTGAGAAAATCTTTTTTATAATCCAGCGTTGTTCTCTCCCTTAATTAAATATAATACATTATTAATAACTTGCTCTGAGAGAATGTGTATACTGCTGCACGCTGTCCCACTATGTATTGCAATCAGTAGGTAAAATTAATTTGAATTTCAATCGAAAACGAACAAGATTGATTTTATTGTTCAGTAATTTAATTTACAGTTTCTGCTTTTTGTCTTACGAAATGTACAAACGCGGTAAGATAGCTTCCCCCTCAAAGCTGGTTTAGGGTTACCATAAAATGGCAAGGGAAGGCAGGGTTGCCATATTTGGCAAGAAATCGCCCATTTGGCGACAAAGCGATATGGTATTAACGGATGGAGAACCTTCTGGAACGAATTTTTACCGGTTTAACCCAAAATGTTCTCGAACGCAAGCCAAAAACTATATAAACCCTGCTGGTACTCGGAGAGTCAGTGCAAGCTAGTCTCGAGTGAGTTAGTCTATGCGGAGTCGATCGAGTTGACAGCCGGGCAGCGAGTGCCGAGTGGGTCGTCGAGTCCATCGAGAGTCTCTAAGTGTATTGCGGTTAGTGCATCGTCGAAAGAGTGTGTTGAGCTCCGGGAACGACTGAAAAGAAGAGTCAGGAACTGTGCTGTGTGTGTCGTCGAGTGCATCGCGAGTTGTAGCGTGCAGAGTCTCGAGAGTACGTGGAATTCCGAGAACGACCAAGCAGAGTCGGGAGCTGTACTTTGGTGCTTTGCAGTGAAGCTGTCTCCACCCTTATAGCCTCATAACCTGGAGGCTGTGTCGATGATTGTTACAGCGTGTGTATAGTAGTTCTTCGACGACTGTAAACATGATATTCGAGCTGTCTTGGATAATAATGTCCAATAAAGTGTGTTTCGATACTTCATCAAGTGTCGTCGTTATTCACTCCAAATCCACACAAACCCCGTACGAACGTGAAGGAAGAAAATAACGTAACAACTGGTGTAAGAAAATAAAGCAACAATATTATCTGATAATTGATAGATCTAACTTTAGGACAGGGCATGGATTTTACAGATTCTCTAAATCAGTCTACATATAATGAATAACAATGAAACCAGGCCTTCAGAAGAAGAGATCCCTAAATTTATGGATCTTTATTTTTAATGGAATTTTGCATAGTCTTCGAAATATGCTCGATGGTGCAAAGGGGGACATTTCATAAGATGAGCATTCTTCAAACCATAATTTTATGGTTGTAGATGTGTGTGATAGCACATTGTCTTGTGAGAAAGAATATTAGCATCATCTTTATTTATCAAAGAAGTTTATGGCTTGAAGTGCCTTGATTCATACCAGCTGAGCATATCCGATATCATTAATGCCTCACTAGTGTATGTAGAACCTTTTGATTCATGGCTATACCTTCACTCATGGGCTCTGTCCGTTGTCGATTTGGATCGTAATGCAAATCATCGGACCAGGTCAGAGTGTAATAGATCTTCCGAAACAAGATCAATGGGTTAGTTTCGCTGTTCAGTGTGCGACTATTTTTGTTGAAGTTCCAAAACTCTGAAGTGTTTCTTTTGATAAAATAAGTTTTATCAATCTATCACTGGACCTGTGTGCATTCAATCTATTACGAACTCGTACTCGCGCAACATTATTATCAAAGTAAGCAGTGTTATTATGAAAAAAGGCCCACTCATAGCGAAAACGTTAAAGCCGCAAAACACTGGTAGCTTACACTGGGTTTATTTTCGGTGTTTGAATGGGTTCACTCAATTTTTCATGTGCGAGGCAAATATCGCCAGTTTCGTTTAGGATGTTCTTAAAGGAGACGTAGCGTTAATGCGATTCACCATAATCAAATGATTTAGAACAATACATATACGGAAAAAAATAACGCATGTAAAAATGACCTCGAATTTATAGATACATGTTTCTAAAAGTCTAAAAATTATTGAAGTGTTTCAATTCCAGTCACAAACAATGTACATGTTACTGAAAATGTAAGTTTTAGCAAAGATACTCTAACAATGTGGTAACAATAATTAAATACTGTTAATCAAAGTGGCAAAGGTTAATCAATCAAAGATGGTTAATCAATGTATCACTTATGCATTATTAAAACGATAAAGTATATTGAAGCAAAGCTTAAATGCGATGCAACTTACTTCAAATTCCTGAGAAAACCTGAGATGCGAATCCGACATCATAATCCTCACGTGCTCCGAAAAATTGTGTACGTCCAAAGGCCTATAAACAACGAAAAGCTCAAGTAGTAAACAAAAAGAACGGTAGAATTAAAATGGTTAATATTCAGAAAGGTACAAGTTCTGAAATATATCTTTCAATACATAAAACCAAAAATACAGTTTCGGAGAGAAGTCATTAAAATCTTCTCTCGATCTTTAAAACTCTATTACATTGAAAATTACAAATTATTAATGAGGATGACATGGTAAAACGCCTATAAAAATTAAAAAAAAACTCTCCTTTTAAAAAAAAAAAAAAATCTGAATGTTTCAGATTTAAATTACGTCCAAAGGGGCGTTTTTTAACATTTTGTATGTTACCTTTCTTTATTAAATATCATGTTCCTCGCACTTAAACCATAAGATCCAGTGCAACAGCAATATCGCAAAATAGTTTTTTTAAAACGAGCATATCTTTAGAATTTCCGATACAGAGACTCACGCGCTGGAGATAAAAATGTTTTTTCTGCACAACGTTGCCATTGCTCGCTTTGAAATCCTTGAGTTTGTTAATCAAAAATTCGTCAAAGTTTTAAAAAATAGGAAATCGATCATAAAACAAAATTTCAAATTTCAAATTTGGTCTTCCACATGCTCATATTCGTTGGAGGATTACGTTATTCAAAATTCGATGACTCTATGTACCGTTGTTTTTATGACAATACGAGAAATATACATACATTTACGCAGATTTTTCATTATTTAATTTCTTCAAATATAATGCAGGACTCTAACATTTTATGGCAACAGTTTGAAAAGTGAACCGACATTTATGAGTCCGACGCAAAATGCCAAAACGAAACTAATAGTCCTTCGGGATTCAAATCCTTTGGAAAAAAAAAAAGAAATACGCGTGACAAAATAGTTTTACCAAAGGATTCTTTATAGCTTAAAAAAGATATATTTCTGCTGCTTACTCCAAATCCCAAAAATTTTATAGCGGATTTTAAATATGTTATATTGCCAACCAATAGAAATTACAGTTAAATATTTTTAAAATAGATGCTATCAGATATGACTGAGCAAAACCGCCTGTTGAAAAATAAAATATTCTATGTTTTGAGCACGCGTGGCAACAACAGCTGTTCAACAAAATATGTTCTTTTCAAGCATTTCATGGTTTAAATGTTAATTTTTAGTGAGAATATGTAATTAAAAATATCTATTACATAGTAGGAAAATGCAGAAATTGGGCCTTAATAACCGAATAGTCTGTATGCTTTACTGTAATCAAAGTTGACAATGCGTTGTTTTATATTTCGAGAAATATCTCTTTCAGAATTATACAGATAAACTTCGTATTTTATAAACAATAATTTTTAATGTAAATTTAATAATTTCAGTAAAATAGTTGAGAAAGTTAGTTTTTACTCTGTTAAATATGCTATCGAAGATAGGCCTGTGCTTTTATGTCATTTCAGTTATTTTTAATTTTGAAACAGAATATAAATTTGAATGAGCTAAAAACTCACGAACTCGTATTTAATTTATAACTTTCAAATTTATCTTACATATATAAACACACGAGAGGAAATATTAAGAAATCAATATTTAACACGAGTCTACATTTTAAGAACAAGTTTCTGCATTGTACCACGCGCATGTGAGCAGGAAGAAGATGAAAATTATAGAGGAATTTCGAATACCTAGCAAAAGCTTAATGTCAGCATGTATTGTTCATTTGTGAAGCTGGAAATGGATCACAAACGAAACATCACCGATGTTCAAAAGTAACCATATTTGTCTGGCGGATAAAAGGCTACAAAGTTGTACAGATTGCGTAGTTCTTAGGTGTTATAGCATCTTTTGCATGTACAGTGTATGTGCCAAATGGCGTTTGTGCCAAACAAACAATTCCAAAATATGCAATGCTGGCTTAAAGGCGATACTATTCCCGAAGGATCATCAGCATGAGATCGCTACTGCTAATCGGTTCCAAAGAAGTATCCAGTTGTTGGCAAAGGTTAATGCTGGAGCAGGTCCATCTATTTCCGGGTGCACTCCTACATCGAGAGCTCCATCGCATGAAATCATTCAGCCTTTATACCCCAGCGATGTCCTCGATTCCAGCCGCTCAGAAGAAACTCCAATGGGCTAAGTTTCCGACATAAATTCTCTTCTTGCTTTAATTCCAAACAACAAAATTCAAACTTCATGAAACGAAGGTCATAGTAGCTATTTTGGTAATGACCAGCCAGATAAATTAATTAAAGAAGTATCTTTTATTCAGGACGATACTGAAATCATCCTTATCCTCAATGAAATTTCAAATGCCAACTAAAACAACTTGCCTCGAAATATTGGCAAGATTTGTGGAATAATGCTTCGCAAGAAAGACACGCCTAAGCTTCACATCTTTGTACTCGAATCCTTCATTAAATTACTATACAACAGGATACGGCTCCTTACCCACATATTTTTAACTCCGACATCTGTATATAAGGAGAATAGGAAACTCCTGATCATTACACTTTCTTATGTCTCTTAACTGAGGATAGTCTATAAAGTCTCTGAAAATTGATCTCATGCCATTCTAGATGTTTCTAGTTAAATACAAACATCAGTATCTAACTTTAATAGAATTACAGCAATGCCTCTTTTTCTACGGCTTACATCTTTGTCAAGTAAATGTTCCTTATGCTGCATTCATTTAATGAAATTTTATATCTTGTGAATATGCTCAAAAGGATTCCACGTATGAAATTTATAAATTGAAGTAACCTGCGCCAACATACCATTTTAAATGCATTAAAAAAACTGTGTTTATTTCTTGTCAAAAATATTTTGTCTATTCCCAAATCCTTGAGCTCTCAGATTCTTAAACTCATACTGTTTTTTGATACTGTTCTCAACAATTTGATCCCATGGACACTCATTGAGTTATTAGTACAGTTAACAATGTGTTTCCAGTACTTATTTTTTTTTATCTCCGGTTTATGAGTTATTTTTGTTACATCAAAACAAATGTTCTCAGTTTAATTTGTTAACTTCAAATTATATTGAATTGTATTGTAATCTCATTATTTCTTATATCATTATTTTTTAACAAATAATGGATGCCGGTTCTCCAGTGGGATTGCACAATGTACCATAACGGGTAAACTGTAAATCCTTTTGAAAGCTTCAGATGCTCATCTCATCGGCGGAACTCAACCTTTTTCTATGTAGGCTCTTGTAAAACTGGCTTTTTTAAGGGGTAATTAGTATGAAAAGGTATTACCAATTGACCTATGGTATAGCAATGGTGTCATCATACTTTTACCTCCGCCTTTAAACTTCGATATGTCATATTGTTCAGGAGAATCATACTTCTGTTTTTGTTTCGGTGATGCGCATTGCCGCATCACTAGGGGTATAGAGAAGCATATAACCCAGACTGAGTCCAAACATCGGTGTAGTTCGGGAAGGGATTAAATTTTCTAAATGTATTTAGGTGACTGGCATTGAACCACCAGTAAAATCAACACTCGAATGAAGGCTGTAAACTAGATCCGCATCCTAAAATCGTCGTATTATGGGTTTTCTACGTGGAGAGGGTACAATTGTGTACCAAGACAACAGTTTTGCCGTACATCATGCTAGATATGGTTAATACTGGTTCGTAGAATGAGAAGCTGGTGTGCCATATTTCAATTGACCAGCCGAATCGTCTAATCTTAACGTTATTGAGAAAGTCTGGGATGCTTTAGAATTTGTTGTCAAGAAAAGTGTAGCGTGCCCACAGTTACCAGAGAAACTACAGCCAGCTTGATGGTGAGCGAGCAAAAATCATTATAAATGTTATCCAGTTTCAAATTGACAGCATGCTGCATAAGATCCAAGCTGTAATCAGGAAACATGATGATGGAATCATGTGTTAAGTTAAATAAAATTTGGTTTAGTAATATTTTGTTTGACGTGTTTATGACAACATCACAATTACTATATAAAAGACTATAATAATCGCATTAGCTTCATAATAATGCTTAAGATGACAAAGCGCAGGTGCTGCCAACAGGTTTGTAATTTATAATGCAGATATTACGAACAAGAACTTCAGATAGAATATCTATGACTGTCTGTTAGAGCTTAGTTCTCCAGTATTGTCTAGTACAATAGACTTAATTCAAAATTACGGAGATTATAACATAGCACATGTTTCATATCCTAGCCTAGCATGTCCTATTACCGAAATAGCTAATTTAATTACAGCACGATATTTCAGTCCACTGTTAGAATCCAGAAAGCAGATTTAGAACTTACCCTCTCGTTTGATATATTTCAATTTGTTGAGGAGGCTCAGGAACTGGGGGTGCTGATGGAGCAACGTGTCCGAACCTTGATCTGCAAGATGAATTCTGAGTTATACAAAATAACTGCAGGTAAAAGCCGAAATAGAAATTAAATGCTTACACTAGAGAGGAGTTTTCTATAATGTTATTAATTTAGGACACATTAAAGCACACACAATTTAGGATATAATGCAGAAATTTCATTTCAACACTATTGCAGCCGTTTTTTGGATAAAAATGTGCTATTATTATTTAATGTATCATTAAAAGTGAATAAATGAAAAAAATATAGACGCTGATAAACGCCCGCCAAGAAATATAAATTCAAATAAATTGAATTAAATATATAAATTTTTAAGAAGAATGTAATATTGCTTCATCACTTAATTTATTAAAAAACATACTATTATAATCTAAAAAGGATAATTAATGATACTATAACACGTGGAATAGTAGTTGGCGATTAGTTAGCACGCTTAATGACGTGATAACTTAACGTTATTTACGTCCTGTATAAAATGGATAGGCTTAACATTTCTAAAATCCATAAAATGATGGTAGTAAAATATTTTTACAAAGTTAACAGTGTGATTTACGAGTACTTTACCTTTATCGGCAAGAATAAGTCATACATCTCAAATAACTTTTTATATGAATAAAAACTGATGATATAGGAAAAACGGGGGGAAATTGCTATAGAATACTGACACATAAAATAATTTCTTTGTCATATTTTGCGGAATCAAAGCTTAAAATGAAATTAGAAAAAAGGTACTGGAAAGAAACAAAAAGAAAGATGGCCGTCAAAAATTTACAAATTAGGAAATAGATAATAAAACAAATTCCACATTCCAAATTTGGGCTTCAAGATGCCCATATTCGGGTAGAAACGTACGTTATTTAAAATTGGATGGCTCTAGGTACCGTTAATTACTTCCTTGTACGGAGTAAAAAGGAAGTATTGTAATCGCGAAAAGTTTCAGGCAGCATATTTCAACGAAAATATCCATTTTGCCCGCTATCGAATGCAATTTAACGATGTTTTTGCATGATATGTGTACGCAAGGACAGAATAAAAGACTATTTTCCCCCCAAAAAATTATAAAACTGCTTTAAAATGAATTCTGAAGAGAATTTTTCATGGCGTCTGTACGAACGTATGTACGTACGTGCGTCTCGCATAACTCATAAACGAGTAGCCTCAGAACGTTGAAATTTTGTATATAGGACTGCTATAACATGTAGATGTGCACCTCGTATTTTGGTTGCAATCGGCCGTACCAAACGTATATAAATATATTTATATTATAATCCATTCTGTTACTCGGCTCAGTGATTTCATTTTCTTTACCCTTATATGTTGTAAATTGTACATTTTTGGCTTTAAAAATGATTGAATTATGTGTTTTTATCTTCCGTTAAGGGTTTTTATGCCTTTAGGGTGCTTACTTTGGTAGACGGTGCACGGGTTTTGCGATTTTCCTTTGGCGAGTAATACAACTTATGGTAACCCATTGCTGGATAAGTTATTTATGGTAACCGATACTTTGTTGTCATTTTATTTAAAAATAATGCGTTTTATTGTGCATAAATTCCGTGTTTAAAATATTATTTATGGATTTTAAATATTAAAAATCAATTTAATTTTGCATTTTTATTGAAATGTTTTTTTTATTGTTTTCATATTTTATGAAATTTTATGTTGTGGATGATGTAATCATGACGTCACCTTACTTTAAAATTTCATTTTAATAGGTATAAATTTAATCTAATGTTTTAAACTTATTTATGGCTCCTAAATATTAAATACAATTTAATTTTGCATTTTTTTAAAAAATGATTTTATTATGTATTAATTTTTAAAATAATTTTAATTCTAGCCGTGATGTAATAAGCCTCTGATTGGTTATAGAATATTTGCGCATTAACGAGCTGTTCAGCTCCCTGATTGGTTACTACTGACAATTTGTGCATTTCCGCGCCGTTTTAAATTAAATTTATATCTTCGAATTCCTTCAAAGATGTCTTCAAAGATGTTATCTAAATTATGATTTTGATTTTTTTTTGTGTATTTTATCAATAAACAACAACAGGTTAAAACACTCAAAAATGTAAGTACATATTTTTCTTTTATTTATAATTGTATACTTCAATTTTTGTTAAAAAAATTAATACACTATTTCAGAATTGCTGAGATAATTACTGTCCATATGTTTTAATGTTAATTATATTCTATATAATGTATTTTAAAGTATTTGAATTAAAAATATTCTAATCTTTTTTAAATGTTGGTATGATGGTTTTAATTCGATATTCAATTTCAGTAATATTTTAATCTAATTAAACGTTGGCCCCCATGTTTTTTATACCGGTATTTTATTCTCTTCTTTGCTATAAATGAAAGTAATAATAACCTTACTTTAGTATTTTATACTCATAGTAAATGTATTTATTTACATTTGCCTGCCATCTTAAAAAACAACACTTTCAACAAAAAATTAATCCATCGATATTTATTTATTTATTTTTTTAATTTCGAATACTTTACTATGCGTAAAAACAGCGTTTTTCAAGATGGCTGACTTTTGTAAAAATCGCGCTAACAATTGCGCCAACGTAAATCGCCAAAAAATCCGTGCAACCGTCTACCAAAGTAGCACCGCCTTTAGTAAATCTCTATGCAATATGTTTAGAATTATCAACAATTTTAAAGTTGTTTAAGTGCCGCTAAGCCTAATCCTTTTCTTGATGGCGGCCATTGTTTGTTTACATTTGAAACAGCAGACTAGTGGATTTGTTGCCAATCTAGAGAAACGTCGCTTCGCAACAACAAAGATAACGCCTTCATTTATTATTGCCAATTACATCATGCTCAATCCTTTCTGGAATTTTTTCGAGGAAATAAGTGTTTAAGATTTACTTCGTAATTTTTAATATAGATATTTTGAGTTTTTATGTATTTTTGCCTTCTCGCGAAGTGAGAACTGAATTAATTTGAATGAGAAATACTAAATCGTCTGTGAAAAACTGTTTCTTTTTGTCTTGTTTGCTTAATTTCTTTTATACATCGTTCTAGCTTTATTATAGTATTTGAATAGAACATGTGGCAACGATTAGATAATTCTATTCTTTAAATGATATAAATTTTGTGCATTATGAGTTATAATATGAACGAAATATAATACTGTTAAGTGAATCTAGCGCCAGAATGTCGCTATGGTAAAATTTATTCTATTGTGGTTTATGCGCTGTCGGCGAAGTAGATTTAATTCAATCCAATAAGTTTAAAGGAAATGCAAGAAAAAATGTGTATAATTTAATATTCCGTACAAAGAAGTCATGTGGTGTACACATCAGATTTTTTTTTATCACAATACGAGAAACATTCATATATTTATGCAGCATCTTCATTATTTAATTTCTTTAAATATAATACAGGGCGATAATATTTGGTGGCAACAGTTTGAAAAGTGAATCGGACATTTATAATGAACCAACGCAAAATGCCAAAACGAAAATAATAGTCCTTCAGGGCAAATTGCCCCTTTGGACTGTCGGCACATGTAACGTTAATGCGGATTGTAATAATTTGTTTTAATATCTATCAGTTTCCACGAGCAAGTCTATCCGTTAGGTAGATATAACCCGCGCGTTCTTTGCGTGAATCAAATTTAATTTAAAGAATTTTGAAAGAGTTGGGGAAAGTATAATCTGTGACGTACTTGCTTACGCATTAATTAACTTTTACTCAATATAACACTACATTTTTTTCGGCATTCAGTTTTAATTGTTACATAGATGATAATGTTCTATAACCATTTATTCCTGAATAAATGGAGCAAGTAGTATGTTACTTTTAACTCCGCGGCCGCTTTCAGGAGGTTAGAAACTGCGATGCAGTGTAATAATCAATTCATAAATAACTAAAAATCCTTTCTGGATGTTAGACTGAATTTTAAAAGAGCATATTTAAAACTTTTCTAAGCTTCAGTTGAACTTTTTTTTTTTTTTTTTTTTTTCCGTTTTACTTTTTATTTCACTTTCCTAGACAGATCTTTCCCCGCTGCATTATGAATTATTTAATATGCTAATATCTTTTGACGATAAAACAAATTGCAGAATATAAACAATCATAAACGAGTGAATGCATATACCTATAACCGTGCCAGCACATATATATGATAAACAGCGTATAAATACTCACCTAATAACTTGTCTTAGTGGTTCTAGTTTTCCTTTCCTTTGTAAAACTATAAGACCCATGAGAAGGAAGACAACTATAAGCAGTAACGTTAGTCCTGCCACCAGGGCTCCTAGGTACGATGAAGATGCGGCAGGTGCTAGAAAGAAAATCGAAATGATGTAATAATGTTTTAAAAATCTTCGTATAATAATACCTACATCTAGGCAGGTTAAAATTTATTTAAATTTTCAAATATATACAAACTAAACAAACGCGCTTGTTAAATTACGTTAGATACGTAGAAAATTCACCTACACATAGTTTTCTGTCTTTGATTCGGTTTTGATTTAGAAAAGTGAGCACGCGCATCTGCGCATGACTACTGAATGTGAGAACACCTGTGAAGGAAAAGAACATTTTTGAAACTGTGGGTTCGAAATAGTTAAGAAAACACTGGAAGATGTTCTGCCGCGTGACTTCAGAAAGACAACACGTGTAGAAAACTGAAGAAACAATATTTTCATGAAAGGTGAAAGGAGTACATACGAAATAAATTACTTGACTGGCAGGAGATGAAAGGATCACATGAAAAATAAAGTATTTATGTAACTACAACGGACTTTCGATAATATACCAGACTGAATTGAGATGATATGGAATGGAATTTTGAAAAGATTATTTAACACTGAAGACTGAATCATTTATCTATCAAACGATGTATTTTTTTTAGGACACAGATAGCTTTTTCTTCGTTATGATACGAAATAATTCCTCTAATTAACGTCATAATTTTTCCTACTGCATCTAGAATTCCCACATACTTACTTATTTATGAATTCAATATATATATATATATATATATGTACATAAAATGTAAATTTTTGTTTTATATATTTAAATTTTTTAATTTAATAAATGTTAATGAAAAATACAGAGTACAATGTCTATAAACCATAATGTATTCTATTAGGGCTGTTAATGTATTTTCAAATGAACAATTCCAAAGCGATTAAATATATACTTTAGAGAAATGTTTTTTACACATGCGTGCAGATGGATCATTGAATGAAACCACATTTAAGAATGGAGCTTCCTCACTTTTCAAACCACTGAAAGGAGTCATAATGCAGAAAACTAAGTGCAAGTACACACTGCCTCCCCCCCCAAAAAAGATAGATTCTATGTCTTCAGTACTACTGCGCCGATTGACGAAATTCCACTTGCGTTTTTTATGTTTCGAAAGCGCGATTTGGGATATATAATACTGAAATATCATATCAATTTTTTTCCTGTATTTCTATTCTACGATTCAAATTATGTCAAAGTACCAAGTTTTATAAAAATTGCACGAGCAGTTTTTAAAAAATCAGTTCTCAAAATTTTAGCTCCTCAGAGTAAATTAAATTAGTGTATATTTACTGATATCTCTTTTTTGATTAAACTTGCTTATTCCATCTTTAACAGTTTATAATCTAGGTTCAATCCAAACAAAAATCGCAAATGTTTGATTTACTTTAACATTTGTATTTTTTAGTAATTTTTATTAATTTTTCGGAAAGCGTTTTGAATTATAACCTATGAAATGTTTACCGTCATCTTGAAGTAGATATATTTTTAAGCATACCTACAAGAAATTACAGATTTAATTAAAAATTTCCTAAGATATGCGTGAAGTTACATATCGACGCGTTTTGAAATTTGGCATGTTTGTTTTAACTAATAACGACGGCAGACTTGGTTTACGGATCTAAACAACTATGATTCAAAAATATAATATAAAAAAAAATATTTGAAAGAATGAACGATGCAGCTTTCTTGCAGTCGTGCACAATGAAAGAAGAAGGAAAGTAGGTTTCCACAAATTAAGCATTTAGCCAAATGAATTATTCTTGGTGCAAACTGAAAAAGTGCGCCAAGGAATTTTAAAATTTAATTACAAGAAGTATATATTAATTGCTTATTGAATTAAAGTATATGGAAGTTTTTCAATGGCATAAAATGCTAAACCTGCATAGAAGACATTGCACAGGATCTTTAAGAAAACAAAATGTAATAATATTATAGTAAAATGTTTCATTTAGATTTAATCTGTCAGATAATTTAAAATTGATTTAATTTGTAATACATAAGTTTTTTTTAAAAAATATTTCATGTTTTTTTCATGTACTTTAACAGCAAACGTTTTTAAGTATTTTCATGTCAAAGAAAGCAATAAACATCCAACAACAGACGGTTTTAGAGTTCTTTTAGCAGAAAGAATGTTCTCCAATTATTGATGCATACAATGTACTGAAACGTGATCATTCATAGCCAACAAATTTTAAGACTAAGATAGAAAAGTACGTGATAACTGAAATAGTTTGAGTTACTTTCTGTATTGAAATAATGACTTCAAGACTTATGTATGTCGCAAAAAATTATATATTAAAATTAAGAAATTAGTTAATTATCCTAATTAAGCAAACTTTTTAATTTATATATTTTAAGTAAAATTTAATCATTATTACATGAAGCGATTTAACCAAACTTGTAGAACAAATAATTTTTTAAAACATAAATTAATTAAAATTTGCGTAAGGAAGAATATTTAAAAGTAGTGCATGATTTTAATGCACTTAATTATTCCTTTTATAACCAATTTTAACTAAACAACGCACAATAATTTCAGGCTTTGCTGATTATTTTTATTTGCATAGTTTAATTTCAATTCAGCTCTTACATTTTAGAAGAGATTACAGTTTCCATTTATTAAAAGTAGAGCATTTTGATTCATATAAAGGATGTTCTAGTTTTCAGTCAAGATATATTTTTGAATATTTTGGTTAAGTTTCTCACCTAATTTTACAAAATTTAATATTTAAGGCATAATTTCAATCGTAGAATCGAAATATGGAAAAAAATCGGTATGTCATTTCAGAAAAAGTCCGATTTTGTTGTTCAAAATACCTATGCTAGAACAATGCTGTATAAAAATTTAATATATATCGTAAGTTTTGTTTTCGAGACATCAAAAATGCATGTTAAATTTCGTCAATCGGCCCATTAGAACAGGGGATATAGAATTAGACCCCTCTTTTTTTGTGCAGAGTGTACCATTGCTTCAAAAATTACACTTAGGAGTGTTCTGCAATCCAGAGAGCTTTAAACATATACTTCTCGCGAATTGATGAAAAACAGCTTAACTGAATAATGACGTTTTGGGTGACTAAAGGATAGCCCTTTGGTAAATACAATAAATTTGCCAAAGACATGAACAAAGTATTCATCATTTACACAACAAAGTCCACCAGTTAAAGAAAACTCGTGCAACACAGCGGTAGGACAAGATTTACCAAAACAAGGAAATAATGGTATATTTATGGTAGCTTAACGTAACGCAACATAACGATCCAAAAATTTGGAAAAAGCTAGTCAAGGATGCATCTTAATGTCAAAATCGAAGAAATTGCTAAAAACGCATTTGTTAGCAACCGCAATAATGATAAATTAGAAATTTAAAAAAAAAAAAAATAAGAAAAGAATAATCTCTCCCGCATGAAAGGCAAGGATCTGGAAGTATGTTTTCCTTTTACGTATGTTCCTGTATATTTCCTTTAAGTTGACGTCATAATAGCATAATGCATTTTAAATGGAATTAATGTTTTTTTCGTTTTTTTCCTAAAAATGTATACATTAAGATAGGTACAAAAATACAAAGATAGTTTATTACTTATTTCTTGAAATTTATATTAAAAGGAAACTTTTTTTACTTAGATTTACCTCAAGGTATGGTAAATGGTCTATATAATTATGTCTTTCTTATGCTGTTTAATTATTTTCTCTCGTAGAACACTTTTTAATGCAATAAGTTAATATATGTGAAATTTGCTTTCATGAAAATATTTCTTTTTGTTGCAAAATGCTTTTAAAAATCAGGATCATCATACTCGTGAAATCGTCACATTTTAAAGTCCATAATGATAAATTCTGATATTGTTCGAATACATGCTATATAAATTGAACTCCCAGATCTGCACAGTCAAAATATTTATGTAAATTAAGGCATATAATTCGTTAAAAAAGAAATAAGTGTCAATATTCTTCATTTCTTTAACTATTTTTCCAAAGCAGAAAAGAAATAGTGATAACAATATTTTAACAATAAAAAAGCACAGTAACCTGTTCACCAAAGAAATTTGCAATACATTTATTAAATAGATTAGAAGTTCATATAATTTTTTAAACTTGAAGTTTTTATTTAGCATTTGTGTCAAGAGCAAAATATTATTTTTTAACTTGCCATTATTTAATATTAATTAAAAAAGGAAATAGGAAGAAAGAAAACAGTGCAGTTAATTTAGCTCATGTTTATGCATTAACCTTCCAAACAGCTTCATTTATTAAAACGTTACGTAAGGGAAAAGTAACGTCTAATTAAATTTCCCGGTATATCTTAATTAATTTTTGAGGCCTTCAAAGCATGGAATGCCATTTCGGCCGCTTGCTGAAATGTTATTAAAAACGTCGCGTATTTTATTTTTGAAAATATAATTAAGTTGACCAAGCAAAAGAATGATTCATTTAAACAGAATTAAATACAATTTAATGCCTCGCAAATGGTAATGCGAAGCTCAAATATTCTTGATATAAATATGATTTACAATTGAGATAATGTGTTGTATTTGATTAAACAAACATACATATACATATATTGGAGATAATTACATGTTTTGAGATATAATGTGAAGTTTTTACGCTGCATAATAAAATATACAAATTATAAACAAATAAAACTTTTTAAAAAATGAGGTTAAATTTTACGTTTTTAACTAGTAAAAGCTTCGAAGTACATTTTACATTCTAAAAGAAGCATTTCATTTTAAGCATTGAGAAAGTTTTTGATTTTGATTACACCTTCATTGAATGATTTTGGTTTAATATCTAATAAAAGTATATAAATTAAGCCTCTTGTTCAGATTAATTGTGTTCTTATTGAGACACTTTAATTTTAAAATTATTTGCTATTTTGTTTTACAAGATTCTTTTGGCTTAAAGGGACTAATGTCTTTATTTGGATTGAGTATTTATGTGACCTATGGTTTGAATCTAGCAAATAATTTGACACTTACTTGGAAATAAGATGAAACACTCCCTTAATTTAGTTATTGTTAATTGATGGTAGATTTGTTTATTCCTTGGATAAGTCGATTAATCTGCGATCGATGACAGTAGCTACTTTTCAATACTTAAAATTTACTTTTGGTTTTGATATTTTTGGGATTAAAGATTTTTCTTAGCAGATCATTAAACAATTTTGTATTTATATAAAATACTAATTTGAATTCTAAAAAAATATTTTCAGTGATGGTTTTAAATTTGTGTTCGTAGGAAATGGTATATGGAAAGTTTTCTTATTATAAATTATTATGAATTGATTTATTACTTTGAAGCTTTAGCGCAAGTTATAGGCTTTTTAATTTACTTTTAATTACTTTATTTTTAATTTTATGTAAGTTATATTTATTTATTAACTTATCTGCAATGCGAAACCAGGTCAGAAATTAATTAGAACCTTCCAGGAAAAAATTAGCTACCTGAAAGTAATTAAAAAGTTTTCGAAAATAAATTTTACATATTTTCAAAATTTTTTAAATATAAATAGAACAATCTAACTTTTCATCTTTTAAATTATGACAACTCTAAATATTAATTTTAAGAACTTCATTTTCACCGCTCAGTTGCAGGAAGTATATTTTAAGTAAAATTTAATCATTATTATATGAAGCGATTTAACCAAACTTGTAGAACAAATAATTTTTAAAATATAAATTAATTAGAATTTGGATAAAGAAGAATATTTAAAAATAGTGCATAATTTTAATGCACCTAATTATTCCTTTTATAGCCAATTTTAACTAAACAACGCATAATAATTTCAGGATTTGCTCATTATTTTTATTTGCATAGTTTAATTTCAATTCAGCACTTACTTTTTAGAAGAGATTATAGTTTCCATTTATTAAAAGTTAAGCATTTTGATTCATATAAAGGATGTTCTAGTTTTCAGTCACTACACGCGTACTTAATAAACGCTGCCATAACAGATAAAGTTGTATCATTTATACTTAATTGGATTGCGCATAATCCGGAGGAAACTCGCACAGCGATACTTATCAGCCAGGAAAAAGACTTACCTGTTCGAGCGAGGAGAGGTTGCGATTCAGCATATCCTCCACGAGTAAATGCTCTCAGCTTCATCCTGTTAAACAGACGGAAGGAGAAGATCTCAATAAAATGACAGTAGTTACGAATTTCCGAAGCATATATGTGCGCATGGGTTTCTTCTTCGATTCTATTCGAACTCGCTTTCCCCTCCCCTACCTTGTCACCGTCGAATCGTTTGCAAGAAAGGGTTAGGCATATCTGACAATATGATTCATAATCTCCTTCAATTTGAATTCGAACAAAGTTTATTTTATTTTTTATTTATTTATATTGTTGTTGTTGTTACGAATTGTTTATATTTCACTTTTTGTTTCATAAATATGTCGCTGATTTTTCATGAAGGATCTCAATTTTTGAAAAACTTAGTTTTCGAATTTTTAACATCAATGTTCATTTTCAAATGGACCTTGGATTTCCATGTGATAAAAACATTACACCCCAAAAAAGAGTATATCATGAAAAATTTATAAAAAAAGTTTTCTTAGTTAAAAACTATGTTAAAATTTTAATAAATGCTATTAAATATTAGGAATATTAAAAAAATAACACGCTTCTTGGATTTAGACTGCTCAGTGAATAATCAATAACTGATTAATTAAATTTCAAAGCTAAATTAACGGTCTTGTGCTAGATCGAATGGCATTTATCTAAGATGTGTTATATGAAACCCTGCGAAAAAAAAAAGTGGGAGGGTGGGGCAGTTCTATTTCTCCCGCTATTAGATTTATATATAGCATTGTTCTAATATAGGTATTTTGACACAGAATTGGACTTTTTCTGAAATAACATACCAATTCTTTTCCATATTTCAATTCTACGACACTCAACTTACGTCAAACTACCAAAATTTGTAAAAATCGCAGGAGTCGTTTTTAAAAAATTACCTCTCAAAATTTTAGCTCCTCAATGTTAATTGAGTTTGGTATATATTTATCAATCTCTCTTTTTTTTATTAAACTCATTTGATTCTTCTTTTCGCATTTAGAAGTCCAGGTTCATTCCAAATAAAATTCACCCATTTTTTATGATTTACTTTTAAAATTTGTATTTTAAAATCATTTTTGTAAATGATTCAAAAAAATTAGAATTATAATGTATAAAACTTTTACCATCATCTTAAAGTAGACGTATGTGGAAGGCAAAGTAAAATTGGTTGCAATGTATTAAATTAGCCACGTGAATTATTCTTGGCGCAAACTAAAAAATTGCGCCAAGATAAACTTTTAAATTTCTCCGTAAATTTCCCACTCAGTTTCACAAAATTCAATACCTAGGCATAATTTGAGTCGTAGAATCAAAATATGGAAAAAAAATTGGTATGTTATTTCAGAAAAAGGTCCGATAACCTAACGGGAGGAATTGCTTTGTGAAGGAATTTCTGATGTAATGTTTCAACATTTGATCAACATCAGATCAGCCGCAACTATGGAGTTAATAGAAATAACAGTTTCAAGACTAATAAATCAGTAGTAATGATAAATTAAATAATTAAGGATATAGTAATAATAAAATTAGGTAAACCTAGGGGAGATATCACATACTTGATTTTTCTATTCACAAACAAAACAATACAGTTAAAGAAAATATACCTATAATAAAGATATGTTCTTTAATTAAAAAAAGATTATTGTTAATATGAACTAGCATTTTGTTTTGTTTATTTATAATAATATAGAAAGATATGGAAAAATTATGAACGACTTATCAGCAAATGTAAAATGAAAGAACGAAATTATTCCTACGGTGGGATATAATATATGACGTTAGGTTAGAAATGTTACCTATGTGAAAAATGATCATAATTATCAGTTGGATGTAATGTAAATTAAATATTTATTTTAAATGATACCAGTTAGATATATGACTAAAAATAAAATAAGATTTTTAATTTTTAAAAAGCGCGTTTACTGCTTTTAAGTTTTTCAGTTTGTTAAGCAATTAGTTCATTTTATTATTATTTGTTACTTTTAGCCCAAAGTCCAGAAAGGCTATTAGTCTCAAAAACGGCATTTTGTGCCCTTTCACTATAAACGGCGAATCCTTTTTAAATTTTTGCCACGAAATATTATGGCCTTGTATTATATTTAACCAAATTAAATAATGAAGAATCTTCATGAATGTATATATGTCTCTCAGACTGTGAAAAAACGACGGTACCTAGAGCCATCGAATTTTGAATAACGTAATCCTCCACTCGAACATGGGCACTTGGAAGCCTGAATTTTGAACTTGTTTTATTATTTATTTCATGTAACTTTAAAGAATTTTTATTAACAAACTCAACGATTATTGATTACTCTTGTGTATGCATTGAAAATCTTTTCTGCATTTGTGAAACAATCCCACTTATTTTACAGTTCAGGTAATTACTGTGAACGAAGTAATGGAACCTGATTGGTTATTTTACCCGACTTCTCAAATGTACTAATTTAATCACTGTCTAAAAACTATGGAACTTCTCATGACAACCAACTCTAACAGATCATCGTTCCTGAGAGTGACTTCTATTTCTAAGAACGTAATGAAATAATGGTATTTAAAATTACTAATAATTAGGTTCACGTTTTCTAAAGCGGTCACTTTGAAAAAAGAACAAACTCATCTGTAGTCGTGGATGGTCGTTTTAGGTCTCAATTTACCTTTTTGAATCATAAGAGTACGTATTTTAAAGGTCAAAATTTGTCATATGAAGGACGAGTAAAGAGAACGTTCTTTGAATTCAATGTCTTGAACGCTGTTTGAACAGCATACAAATGTAACATCAGGTGGAGGTAGTCAGACACGAGGCTTGTTCCAAGGAGTTGTCAGAAGAAGTAATCGGCAATATGCGTTAGAATATGACGAAGTCGAAAATTGTGTAAACGTTCCGAAGCAGCTGAATGCTCTGAAACATTTGATCTCTAAGCAGCTGATCAGAAAGAATTTTCTATGTGCAGGTGTTCAACGATTTTCCATTTCCCACGTTAAGTTCAAGAATAAAGCTCACGTCACTGTAATAAAATATAATACAAGTATGTTACGATTACTGTTGAAATAGTGTTTCTAGGTAATTTGACTTAAAAGATCGTAATTTGATTACCGACTTAAAAGACCGGTAATTTGATTTAAAAGACCGGGAATGTGAAGAATTTTTTCCCTAACAGTGACGAATTTATGAGAGATATTCTTAGCATAATGGGGCAAAATTCCTTTATTGCCAATTAGGTAAATATAATATATATAAAGAGATCAATGATTGAAAAATATTTAATTAAAAACTATTAATATAAAATGTTGAGAAATTAATACAAAAATATAGGAAAGAATAATATAGAAAACAAATCTGATAAATGTGATAAATTATCACGCATGAAGAAGGCACAAACTGAAAACATTGTGAAGCATAAATTTGGAAATCAATTTCGAAGCAAATGAAATTAAAACGAAAAAAGAAGAAAATCTGAAAGGTTTCAGATTTTAAATTACGTCCATAGAGACGATTTTAATATTTTGAGTGTTACCTTTATTTATATAGTGTTATCTTCGCACTTAAACCATAAAATTCAGTTCAAGACCAATATCGCAAAATAATTTTAAATCGAGCATAGCTTTAGAATTTCCGATACACAGTCTCGCGCTATGGTTTTATTTTTACTCAGCTATGGTTTTAAAAAGATTTTAACATGTGAAAATGGTGATGTTTTAAATGGTAACGCCTCGACAGGAAAAGATTTTATTAATATACATCCAAAAGATTTCAAAGGTATACCGTACGATTAAGGTTATATGAATACTAGCATGATTGATATATACACTGATGGCTCTGGATATGATGGTGGAACTGGTTGCGCTTTTGTTGTCTTTTATTACGGAGTCGAAATCTATAATAGAAAAATACGATTAGAAGGAAATAAATCAGTGTATCAAGCTGAAGCAGTTGCAATTAGAGAGGCACTGCGGTGGAATTATAAAAACTTAAAACAGTACTTTACAATACAAATTTATTCTAATGCTCTCTCGGCCCTACAAGACTTGGCAAATCCGGAACCAAGCAATAGACTTTTTTTGGATGTAAAGAACATTTATAACAAAATAAAGAGAGAAAAAGGGTATATATTTTCATTGGGTCAAGGCACATATTGGTGTTATCGGGATATGCTAGCTAAAGAGGCTGCTCTGGGAGAGGGTGATACGTATGACGCTATTAATGATTCCAGAAGAATTACCCTGAGAAAAATGAAAGCAAGTACTATAATTGAGAAATGGACTCGGGAATGGAATGGTTCAAATAAAAATAAGGGTTACTTGAGGATTTTGACCATAAAAAGAAAAATGGATCTATTTAATAATATAGATACTATCAAGTTATTACGGATCATGGTAGCTTCCCGGCCTATTTAAAACGTTTTAATCTCCAGGACAATGATCAATGCTTGGCTTGTGGGAAGTACGGAAATGCAGCTCATTTTATGGAAGAATATAAACTGACCGAGAGTGTGAGGACGAGATTTGGAAAAATAAATGAATAGAATGTAATTGAAAAAAGAAAATTCTTGAATAGCTATGCAACAGAAATTATGAGGATTGTGAATGAAAACAAGACTATCATAGGAACAGGACATTAAATAATTTAGTTTTTCTTTTGTTTACGAGTTTATGTGTTGAATGAGTGAGTTATGTGTCGTCTTACTATTTTTTGTTTTCTAACCGATTATGCTTATGATTTTCTTTATTTTGTATTGTGTGAGTGTATTTTTAAAGCTACACAATCTGTGTTAATCTGTTTAATCTGTATTTTAATCTTTTAACATTTTTTTCTTGTTTGTCTGCGTCGGGTGTGCTGCGTTAACCATGAGGCCGATTATTATCGGCCAGGACGGTTGCAGCATACTCGTAAACTAAACTAAACACAGTCTCGCTCGCTGTAGATAAAAAATGTTCTTTCTGTACAACGTTGCCATTGTTCGCTTTTAAATCCTAGAGTTTCTTAGCTAAAAAGTCGTTAAAGTGTTACAAAATATCAAATCGATAATAAAACAAATTCCAGATTTCAAA